TGTATTTTTTTTTAAATTGGTTTTATGAATTGATTATTATAAAATTTAATGAGCCGATATTATAAAGGGATGGGGATGTTTTTCCTTCAAATTTTAAACTTCTATCAAGACAGTATATCTATCTAAAAAAATCTATTAATTCAATCAATATAATTATATTATAATTATAATATATGACTATGAAATGTGTTATTTATATCTCTTTAATAACTTCAAAAATAGCAGATATGCCATATATCAACATAGATTAGGACTTTATACTTTGCTCTCAAAGCTTAAAATATATTTTCCTTGACGTTATATTCAAATTTTGATAAAGGACTATATATCTTAACTGCAATTTAATCTTATGATTAAATCATAAAATATTTGTAATACCTAAAATATTATGTAGCTTAAAAAAAGCCAGATTATTTGTAATTCCAGCAAACTGTTATAAATTTTACATTAGTGCATTGGTTATTCCTCTAAAACACAGTTATTTATAATTTATGATAGTTAAAAATATCAAAAAAAGTTTTTATTAATAAGATTATATATTTTTAATTAAGAATAAGATTTTGCTTTCTTTTATACAATTAATTAAAATTCTCTGTAATGAATTTTATAAAACGCATCTATTCAAAGATTAAAAATAAAAGTCTGAAAGTTTTCTTTGTCTACATTTTTTGTTATTCTCATTATATTATTTAAAATTAATTATATGAAAAGAAGTTCTTATCCAATAATACTCCTTTCTCCCAATTTGCAATTAAAAATTTTATTTTATAAATTCACAAAATTTGATAAGAAAATTATTTTAGTACTATATCAAATAACTAATTTAAATTATTTATTATTGCAGAGTAAGTTACATGGTTAGTATGATTATAAAAGTAAGCTTTAAAGTTATTTCCATATCTGAAAATATTGATTGATTATTCTAGTTAAACGTAACTTTAATGTAATTTCATATTTATAGTTTATTTAAACTAGTTAGTGTTATAATAATATATTGATTAAATTACCTTAAATATGAGTATATGATAAGACAATTAGATTGGTAATTTAAAGATTAGGTTTATACATATATTCCTCTTAGAATAACCTTGGTTGAATCATTAATCATACTTAATGTTATAATTGAATTATATTCTTAAATTAACATTTAATTAATATACCATTTTTCTGTGTCTTGATATTAAATAAAAGAAAAGGATGAATGGAGGTAAATTTTATTTAAATTATATTATTATCACAAAACTCTTTAACTTTTAATTATTTAGGCTTTAATCATTTTAATATGTAAGGAAAAATCTTAATAAGTACTGTATAATTATATATAAACAATATTAATATTTACTTTTTTCATATATGGTTCATATTTTGTTATATAAGGTTTTTTAAATATATATTAAATTAAAGCTTATGATACATACTAAAAATTGAAAAAAAAAATTTGTCCCGACACCGACCTTTTATGTGCAAATGGCTATCAAAGTTGAATAAATTTATTAAGTATTTATTCATATATTATACTTATATATCATAAAACTTGTAATCAGAGGATATAAATAAGGAAATAGAAGTTCATTTTGCTTTTGGTTTAAAGCACCAAATTTTTAAAATTAAACATCTACAAATTTGGATTGAAGCGTTTCTTATGATAGTGATTTTAATCATTGTCAGATATCATCTATACTTGTCCCAACTATGCCATATCTATTCTGTGCTGCAGCTCTTGTGCTACCGTTTTTTTCTGGTTTTTATACATTAAAATACATTTTTTCTTTACTATTTGGCCTGCCATATAAACTAATTGTCTACCCCTGGTATAGAGTGTCTAATAATGCTGGTTAACATATTTTTATATGATACATGAAAATATCAGCCTTAACATTAGCCTTTATTGAGATATATAATTTAAAAATTATGTAAGTAGGGGGATTTTTTAAAAGGTGAGAGGGTGGCAAGTATTTTTTAGTTCCTAATATAATAAAACCTAAGATATTAATACTAGTATATTTCCATACCAATAGCTAGGTAGGTTGCCTGGCCAACCTTTTCTACTTTGCACATTCAGTAACACATTGTACTTCGCCTTGTAGGTATCAGGATTCGATTCCGTTGTGCTGAGGTTTTAACAAAAGATATTAAACATGACAAAAAAAATTTAATATGTTGTAAGAATTATATAGATTAAAGTTAAAGCATAATAATATAGAAAAATTAAAGTCAATTCAAATTATTTATAAAACTTTATTATTAGACAATTGTTAATAATATTTTTTTTTTTTCAAAAATCAAATGCTAATTTATCAAAAAATTTATTAAATTTATTTTACAGCATGGAAAACTTCACATCAAATATCAAGTCAAAATTCTATATATCAATCTGTCAATATGGAACCAGTTGTAGAAGAAGTGAGAGATATTACAATGCGAAAAATAACAAGATGGTGTTGTTCAACAATTATGATTTTTGGCGGAGTAGTTCCATATATTCCCCAGTATAGGGAAATATATATTAAACAAGATGCTGAAGGTTTCTCTATGTATGTTTGTTTAGCTCTTTTGGTTGCCAACACCCTTCGAATTCTCTTTTGGTAAATATTTGTTTTAATATTATGTTCTTTAATTTTAAACTAATTATTTAGTTATTACTCATCAATAACTTATTTAAAATAAATATGTTCTTAGGTTTGGTAAACGTTATGAACTTCCATTACTATTTCAAAGTATAGTAATGAATATTATGATGCTATTAATGATACATTTATGTGTGAAAGTTCGTAATAAAACTCAAATAATTAGAGGCCCAGATCGATATTTTACAGGTATGGTTTAATTATAATTAATGTTATCTGGTATTTTGCTAATAACCATAATTCAATGTAAGAATTATATTTTTTATTTATAGATTTTGATTGGCATTATTTTTGGCAATGGACAGATTTTCAATCATACTTAGATTTTTTAATTGCAATGAGCATTTGCTTGTCTATTGTAACATTTATATTTTTACATAATGTTGTATTTGTTGAAATAATTGGATTTTTGGCTTTATTAACTGAAGCTATGTTGGGTGTACCTCAGTTAGTAAAAAATTTAAGAAATAAGTCTACTGAAGGAATGAGGTAAATCATTTATCTATCTTTAATTTGTTATTGTTTAATAACTATAAAAAAAAATAGTATTTTAAAATGTGTAATTTAATAGTGTTAAATTATTCTTAAGTTGAAAAGGGGAGTATGATTTAATTAGAGAAATAAAATATTCATTTAGTTAGATATAAATAAATTTTCCAATTGCCAGGAAAAAAATGTACTATGAGGATTTATTTTTCTTAATTCTATATAGTAGTTGACTAGGTGACAAAATCAGCCTGAAAAAGTGATACTCCATGTGACTCTTATTACTATACAGAGTAATTTGTTTATTATGAACCACTTATCCATCGAAAAATAAGAATAATAATTATGATTTTTGTTTTGGTTTTTTTTAGTTACATTTTTTTCTCAACTTATCAATCATAAAGTATTTTTTATGTTCAAAGAATAAATACCATTGAAAAAAATATTGTTGCCTTCTGTATTATGAAAGTTAGTAATATTAAAAAAATAATGATCAGTTTTACATTTTTCTATTTCCCAAACTTAACATACTACAGAGGGTAGTCGCCCTCTCTCACATGTTAGGAAGTCAAAGACTTGATTCTTATAAAGTTCTTGATTAAGCGAATGATGGATGGGACAAGTATTATGGCCGGCTTGTATCAGACACCTCCAATGAAAAAATCACAAGAAAAATCTCGTTGGCACCCTGCGGATTGAACCCGGTACTTTGTGCCCCGAAACATACGTTTCTACCCACTAGACCAGACCACTTTTTTATTATTAAAAAAAATAATAAAGATGTATTCTCAAATATTTTGCTGAATATTTGTATGGGATTATCTGTTGATTCAGTAATTTTGAAATATGAGAGGTATTTCGTAACTTATAATTAACATGTACTGATTTTTTACTATTTACCTTGATCTTCCAACATTTCATCCATATAGAAATGTTATTGGTGGTTATTTTAATTTAATCAGTAGCTATCCGTTGTCTTTGTGAGTAGTAAGTATTTCAGTATCATCTGAAAGCATATTTGTGTTTAACACCAAACTGATGAGCCGGTATAAGTTTTTCACCTGTAAAAGATTTTAGATGCTTTAAAAAAAGCTTTTCCAAAAGTTTAGCATATTCGCATGGAGTGATATTGACTTATAAGATGGAGTTTGCTCTGGAAGATTTCCATGCTTTAACAACATTCAAGTATAATCCTGAACGAGTTCTGAATCAATATCGCTCTTGAAAAACACGTTTTAAGTGAAGTGTATATACTTCTGATTTGTCTGTATGACTACGCCCCCATATACCGCCTTCTTGCGAATTAGATATAAAAATTGTTTTCATTTTTCTTGTAGTTTTTCATAAAGAGTAATCACTAGTATCTGTTTTTAATTATCTTCTAAGTATGAATTAAACGTTAAATTTTTAACCTTTGTGATTTTGTCACGAAGTAATTTGCATAAACAATTCAATTTTTTTGTTAAATGACGCATTGCGTGTCAATTTTTTCTAGCTCTGCGTTTATGTAGAATAAGTTTTTTATCTCTGTCAGATAGGTTATATCATAAGATAATCTATTTGTCTTCTTGAATTTTTGATGTAGTTGAATTTGCCGCTTTAATAACATTTTTAGTTATTTAATATACTACTTTTTCAATGTCAGTTGCTGTTTTCAACCATATAGAAATAGCAATGAATTTCTAGCGTCATTCTAAAAAGATCCCAGTCGTCTATTTATTTGTGAGAAAAGCTTTCGTAATTTTAATATGACATTGAACTTATTGTTAACAACACAGGAATGATAGATATATCAGCGCTTCAGCTTGAACATAATTAGAAGATACCTTTAATTACGAAAAAGTCTAGAAGATCAGGAATTTAATTTGAGTCACTTGGCCCGTAAGTTGTTTTTTTAATAGAAATAAATTCAGCTTTATTATAATTAGCTACTTTTTATAGTTCATTTCCTTTAGGGATTTTTAGTCTTGATCACCAAAAAGTCTGTTTGGCGTTATAGTCACCGCCAACAATAAAATAGTTGTCCAATGTTTGAATGGAAAAACTTATTCAATTTTTTGAAGCCTGCGCCACTTTGAGGTGGACAATAAATTTCTGTAACATAGAAATTATTATTTTTATCAATGACCCCAATATTTGTTGATTGTATGTGCACTGTTGAATACTTTACTAACTTATAATGCTTAATAGATTATTTTATAATAACTGCTGTACCATCCTGTGTTCTACTATTCGGGTATAAAGTAATGTAAATGTTTTAATCTTTTATACTCATGAAAGTATACAGGAAAAATTTATTTCTCAAATAAGGGCTATGTCAATGCTCTCATTAATTAAGAACTTCTCAAATTCTTGTTTTTGCTATTTTAGCCCGTTGGCGTCCTAGCTATCATTCGCAATGTACAATTTATTTCTTCTTTTTGTTATTATTTTTAGACTTATAATGATCACTTTCTAGCTCACCAATTCTATTTTTCAGGTTTATTTAGAATTTTGTTATATTTTATTTTTATAGAAACTATACTCTATTTTTGCATATAAAACAATTAATGTTACAGTTTTCATCCGTTTCTTCTGAAAACGTTGTAACGCAGATGTGTTCTTATTTGTGCTCATTTATAGACTAAACAGCCTTTCCAATTTGCTGTGTGGGCTTCTCCACTATTGGCACATTTCGATCTTTAGCAATCTTCAGTTTTATGAAGATCTTTACCATATTTTATACAGATAGTTTTTATAACAATAGTTTTGAGTGTGTCTAAAAGACTGACTATTTTTACACTGAGGCACACTTTTTTTTTTTCGGAGTTCTATTTTTATTTTATGATAACATAAATTATTTATGTCGTACATATATTTATTATCATGTTGTACAAGGTCTAAAAAAAATAAGGGTAATTTTATTCTTTTTGTTTTCACTATTTTTATCATTAGGATTTAATTTTTTCCTTATTTAAATGTTAATTACAGTAAAGTCTTGCTAATCTGGTCATCGCTTATCCGGACAATATATATTTCGTACTTAAGTACTCCTTTATAATGTATCTATACATACACATAAATATTATTTATATCAATGTTGATTGTATAGCATAATTGTAGATACATATATGTAGGTACCTCTACGAAATATTCGGTAAGATATGATAGTTTCGATTACATATTGTGATATTGTTTCGTTTAGTGGTGATTGTGTACTCGTGTCGACCGTTACGTTTATTTTTTCCTCCGCTTATTTTAAAAACGGTGTAAAATGACAACTTAGGTTAAACGTAAGAGAGTGATAGTAGCCATGGAACAAAAACTCTTAGCTTTATTTCGTATTGATGCTGGTAAATTACTAACAACAATTTTACAAGAGTTAGGAGTAGGTAAACAAACCGTTTCTGATTGGAAGAAAAATCGAGTAGAAATTGAACATTTTTGTGCCAAAATGGTGAGCGTGGACAGTTTAGGTAACAGACGCACGTGAAGAAAACCAAACAACGAACTTTTAGACGAGGCTTTTTATATTTGGTTTTGTCAACAACGTGAACAGGACCTTCCGTTGTCGGGTGTAACGTTACAAGTTATCGCGATAAAATTTAATCAAAAATTGAAAGGAGATCTTACATTTACTGCTAGTGTAGGATGGTTGTCACGATGGAAAAATTGACATGGCATTCGTGAACTTGGTGTTATTGGTGAAATTTTATCAAGTGATAATGTTGCAAGTGAAGAATTCAAAAACAAATTTGTTAAGTTTGTTAGCGATCAAAACCTAACGCCTTGTCAAATATTTAATGCTGACGAAACTGGGTTAAACTACAAAATGCTCCCAAAAAAAAACATAAGCCTCAAATCTTGATTCTGTAGCCAGAGGACACAAAGTGAAAAAAGAACGAATAACTTTACTTCCTTGCTTTAACGCTTCTGGTGATTTAAAATTTCCACTTTTGGTGATCGGAAAATCAACTAAGCCTAGAGCTTTCAAAAACGTTAATATGAGTGCACTTCCAGCTCAATACACTTCACAAAAATCTGCTTGGATGAACGGAAACATTTTTAAAAATTGTTTTTTTTAGAAATTTGTGCCTACAACAAGGGAATTTTTGAAACAGAAAAAACTCCCAGAAAAAGCTGTATTGCTTACAGACAACGCTCCGTGTCACCCTAGTGAAAATGAATTACGAGATGGTGAAATTTTGGTGATATTTTTGTTGCCTAACGTGACGTCATTATATAACCAATGGATCAAGGTGTGATTGAAACGACAAAACGGCTTTACAAAAAAAAGTTGATCATGTTTCTTTTAGAGCAACAATTAGCGAACCCGTTAGTTAACTTTCTGGATCTTTTAAAAAATGTAACAATAAAAACTATTCTTTATTTAGTCGCAAAAGCGTGGGAAGAAATTAAGCCAGAAACACTTCAAAAAAGTTGGGAAAAAATGTGGCCTAATATTCCTCCAGAAAACTATGGACAAGATGAAACAACTTCTAATGAGGACATTGATTTCATTCAAGTTTTTAAAGAGTTGAAAGGTTGTGTCGACGTGGAAGAAAATGATATTTCTGAATGGATAAACAGTGACACCGATGTTAGTCATCAGGTTCTTAGTGAAGATGACATCGTAAATACATGTATTGAAAACACAAAAATTGACAGTTCAGAAAATGAAGATAATGGTATAGATCAATCAACAGGCACGATACATGGTGAAGCCAGTGCAATGCTGGAGCAGTTGATGACTTACTTCGAGAAACAAAGTGAAACATCTTCTGCTGTGCTACTGACTTTAAGGCGTCTAAGTCATCGCACAGTGAAATTACTTTATTCTTCATTAATACAAAAAAATATCACGGATTTTCTCAAGTGAGTCTTATTTTCTTCTAAAATTAAATTCTAAAAGTTTTCAATAAATTTGTATTGTCATATAACCATATAATAATAATAAAATTATGTAATGTAAAATTGTAAATAAAATTAATTTTGAATTTGTATAAAGACATAAGGTGTTTTTTGTAAATATATATATTAGTAGGTTAAAAAAACGTTCTTCCGTTTAATCCGGATTTTCGATAATCCGGCTAGAGTTCGGTCTCATTTAATCCGGATTGGCGAGATTCTACTGTACATAATTTTCATAATGATGTTTTTCTGCTAAGTCTTTTAATTTCGCACATTACAGCAATTAATTAATAAATAATAAAGTAATTAGAGCATATATATAATGCTCTAATTACAACACTACAATTTTTTTCTGTTTTAAACTGATATTTATGATACTCGATTTTTAGCTTCGTTGTAAAGCTGAGAAGGTATCAATTTTACAATAATGTTTTTTTTTTTGTGTCTGTTACCAATTTTTCTCAGCTCTCACCGAACCGATTTCTTTCAATGATACGTTAAAAGATCACAAATCGTATTTTGTTGAAGACATTACCCTCAAAATTTGAACATTTTTCCCTCGTTCTCCATAAATGGTGGAAATCCCCCTAAAAATTACGATTTTTAAAATCAGTAAATTTCGATATTTTTTTCGCTTGGTGTACGAAGTTTGAACCCTCAAATAGGAAAGAATTTTATTGCTATATAAAAAATTAAAAAAAAAAAATGAATTTTTATAATTAATAATAATCAATACGCTCAATTGAGTAGATCTTTTTAATAACTTTTTGATTAGGTTTTGGTTAAAGTAAATCATTAAAATTAAATAAATTCTGAATATTTCAATTGTAGAATCAGATTTGCATCGAAGCGTGTTTCTTATGATAGTAATTTTAATCACTGTCCATACTTTGCCGCGACCTCTCTGTGCTACTTTTTAATTTTTTTTCAAGTACTTTTAAAGTACGTTTGTACTGGTGCTCGTCACCTGTCATAATTTTAATATCGTCGTTAGAAATAGTTTTTAATTACTGCTTATGATCTATGACATCTTCGAGAGTTAAATTAGAAATTAGATCGTTGGTATTTTTTACATCACAGACAGTTATTTGAAAATTTTTGGGGCCACTTTGAATACATTTTATTTCTTTCATCTGTCTATTTTTTTGTGAACTAAATGAAGCATCTGTGCTACAGTCGATTTATCGTTAATAATATTTTCATAATTAATTATGTACGCTGCTTGCATGCTAATTTACTTGTTGAGTACTCAACTGTTCAATGGTTTAAAGCTCTATTACCATTTTTCTTAATGATTCCTTTACTCTTTGTAATTAAACCAAAATATTTTGATTGATTAAAATTTGGTTAGGCTGAATAATTATATTTTCAAACAAGTCCAACTGACGAAAAACAGCGGCACCAACAGTTTCAGGTAACTTGACCTAGTTAATTATTTTAATACCCTTAACACTTTTGTAGTAAGCAAAATCATTATTCGTTACACAATATGTTGACACAATACGCGAAAATTTAACACATTACAGCAGAATATACGTGTTGGTCGTTCGACAATTAAATTGAAACTACGTAATACACAATCATTAAATTTATGTAATTAATTTTATTCAATGAATGATTAAATGTGATAAAAAGTCATAAGTAGAAATACATGTCTAAATGGCCCAAAAAGGGGGTTTAAAAGAGTTTAGACAACAGAATAGATAATATCTTATCTTTTTTGTACTTAGACCATCAAATATTAAAATTATTTCCTCCTTATAATGAGGAAAATTTGTATTGTTGTTTTAAAAATATTTTTAGAAGGGGAAAATTTGTTAAATATTCCTCCCAAATTAATGTTCTATTTACTCTAACGCATATCTAATATGTATATACAAGCAAAATGTATCCTGGGCGATTTCATCTTTAATTGAACAGATAAAATTTTTTCTGTTATAAAACTTCTAACATCAACTTATTAGTCATATTAGATTATTTTTTAATTAAAAACATAGTAGTGTTGTAACCCTATTACAATAAGTTTCAAATTATGCACTAAAAATTTTAAAATTTAGATTAATCGTTGTCTGAATTTTTTATGTTTGTGTAAAATTAGTATACAAATGCAAGAAGTTCTCTGCCCTAATGCGGAATTTCTATTTTAAATCCAAATTGTTAAACAATTTAATAACGCAAACAGTTGATTAGATAAAAAAAAATTTAAGAACAAAATTGTCAAAAAAAATTTTTTCCACTATATCATCAAACTACAAATAAAGGTTCCTATTAATGAAAACTGAAGTTTAGATTTTTTAACACTGAAGGGTTGAAAAAAATCAGCACAGTAGGCATGTGGTATATTTGGGTATAGTATAGATAATATCTGACAGTGATTAAAATCACTATCATAAAAAACGCTTCGATGCAAATCTGTAGATAGTGTTTAATTTTAAGAAATTGGTTGATTATTTCAAGAGCTACATGATCTCCTATTTCCTTATTTATATCCTGATTATAAGTTTTATGATTTATAAGTGTAATATATTTATAATATATAAATATACAATTAATTAACTACATTATACATTGTCACTCTTAATTTGAATTTACATTTTGAAATTGAAGGGCTTGGTACGACAATGGTTAAATGATTTTTCTAATTTAAATATCTCTACAAATAATAGGAATATAGTACTCGTTTTTGTACTGAATTAGTTATCATGTTTATTTAAAATAAAAAAAAAAATTTCGAAAAAGTTGGACTTATCTGGTTGTTGCACTGAGCCCTTCAGTTCTTGTGAAATATAAAAATTTTAAATAACATTTCAATTTTTTTAAGTAATAGTTATTTTTTGTTAGTGTAACAATGGTATTACTTTGGACTACTGGAGATGCTTTCAAAACTTGTTATTTTGTCAGTCGTAAAGCTCCACTACAGTTTTGGATGTGTGGTACACTTCAAGTCATCATAGATATAACTATACTTAGTCAAGTAGTATGGTATAGAAATGACCTAATCTCAAAAAATCCTCGAATAGACTGATGATTTAATAAAATTAGAAATAATTGAGTTTACAAACTTGTTACTATCTTCATTATTTAGATATTATAGTATCGCAATAGACTTTTATTTTAAGTCGTTGTGGATGATTATCTAGTGATATTATATACATTTTTACCATTTGCATCTAGCTATTATTCTATAACAAGTTCATAATTATTAAAAATAATATTGAATCTTACACCCTTTTATATAATTCTATTTTATTTAGTTACTTTTATAGACTGTTAAAAAATAAGAAATTAGAATTAGTATTCCTTACAGTCTTATCAAATTAAATTTATTCAATTTCAAACTTAAAATTGCACAAAATTTTAATTAAAAATTATACATTTAATATATATTGTTAATTACTGCTATTGTAAAGTTAAAATGCATCTTTTATCTGCTTAACTATAAGTTATTTCTTTTTTATTCTCTAAAATATTATTTCAGCTAAAACTTTTATTATTTGTAGTGTAATAAACCTATATTACAGTGAACACTAGATTTATAATGCTGAATTGTGTATTTTTAAAAAATTATTTTATAATGCGAATTAGGGGCCATGACTCTTTGATATGATATATTAAATATTTAGTATTTACTTATAGAATTATTTTTAAAAAAGAATTGACTTAGCTAATGTACATATTTTTTTTTCATTATTATATCTTAATGAAACTGTTTTAATACACAGTTTGACAGAATTATTTGTTCCTGTGTATGTACCTCTGCACTAATTTCTTTATTATTATTATTATTATAATTAAACTTCTCCGCCGATCATTTTATAATATTCATTTTTCATACTAATTTATATATTATTTATACACTTCCATTTATTAGTCTTCCGAAATGTAAAATGTGTGTAATTATTTTAGTATAACATTGAGTATTTTATGTGAATTTTTTTTTTTAGTATATTAAAAAATTTATTTTCTTAAAATTATTAATTGTAATGTTTTATAGTTTCTATACAAGCAATTAATTTTATAATAATTATTATTTATGATGTGAGTGAAAAAGCTTATTTAAACACTGAATATTTGTCATAAGTATAAATGTTTGTGTTGAGTTTTAAAAACTTTATCCTTTTATCTAGTTTTCAGTTAATTGAAGTAACAAAGTCATTGAAAGATATTTGCTTAATTAAGAATAAGAACTTATATACAACATCTTGTAATTCATACATTTTTTTTTTAATAATTAGTATAATTTTTGACCATTACTACCTAATTATAAAAGTCTAATGCACATAATTAACATAACTTTTTTGCCGAAATATTTTTTTAATTATTTGAAATTTATTTCTTTATTAATATTATGAGACTGTCTTAAAATGTATTTTGAATCTCTATTTTTTATTTTAATATGCGGATCTTGGCGGAGAAAGTATATTAGCCCTTTTTAAATAATATTCTCAACTATTATTGTTTTAAACCAAAAATATACCAAATGTTTCTACAATTAGTAATAATGTAATTAAGTTGACAATTTAGAACCAACTAATTTTTTTTTATGTATGAGAAGTTATTGTAGAACATCTTTAAATAGTTATTTGTTAAACTTTTGTGATAGATTTTGAGTCATTAATTTTGTATGTACATATTAAATCATGTTTTTGTTTATATAAATAGTATACTAATGGTGCATCACTTTATTTATATAAAATGTTATAAAAAAATTTGTTACTCCATTATATCATTGGGATAAGTCTTGTATAATAATGCACATACTATTTTAATTAGTAAAATTCTTTATGCTATATGGCACAAATTCTATATATAAATGAAAAAAAAAATTATTTTATTTTATAATGGTCTAAAATTGTACCATAAATAATAAATTAATTTTTCCAAAAATACAACTCGTTTATATTATTTATTATTAAAATCTTTATAATTTTTAATCGTCAAATGGCTGTGTTATATAATTGTTAATAACAAGCAATCAAATGATATTTGGTCTCTCTAATTTAATATTTATTGTTTTACTTAATTTAAAAAATACCTATTATACTATATTATGTAACTTTCAAACGTTATTTCACATTTAAATTAATTTATATCAAAAAAATGTATATTTTAATTTGAATATTAAACATAAAAATCTATTAACCTGGAATACTTAAAACATCTGGACAATTAAAAATCATTAAAAAAAAAAAAGCATTTTATATTTTAACATATTAGTTTCAAAAATTATGTAATAACCAAAATATTGATATGTAAAATGAGGATATTGTTATATATTAATATTAGTTCAAACATTTTTTACCTGTTATAGTAATAATGATTTGTTTTTTTTTTTTTTTACATATAAATTATGCTAAACGAGTAGATATACCATAATATATTTGCTGTATTGTTAAAGCTAAAAAACATATCTTATTTATTACTAATATTTGCAGTTAGATATAATTATATTTACCTAATATATAGAATTTGACATTGTAAGTATATATAAAAACTAATCAATAGATTTGTGATAGCACCAATTTTTTAGTGAGATAATGTTTTTTAATGCTCCGTCCGCCATAAAGCCTGATATATTAATTATCACTGTACATCATTTAGAAAATGATACCTATATGTTATTCTATTTCTAAATAACTATTATATAATGAAATATTAGAGTGTAGGTGATATTATTTAATATACCATTATGTTATGGACTTAGAATTCACTTATAGTCAAATTCCAATTTGTTTGTTTTTATCATGCTATTTCATCAAAAAATGTTTAGCTTAATAATTTTTTGAAACACTGAAAACTCCTTAAGAATCCTAATCCGTTCAATTTTATTGGTGTAGTTCATGTTATTATCATAATATAATAAATAAAATTTTAAAAGTCTTTATTCTGTATACATGAAACTTTTTCTCCTAAAATTAGTGTTTTTTAGTTAAAATATGTAGGAGAATATATGTTATATGTAGGTAAATGTCTAATTAATTATCTAGAAAAATTTAGATGGATTATCTAAACAAAAATTTAACAGTACTCAATGAAATTATATTACTACACACCCATAATTTTCAGGAAGCTTAATCCTAGTAGAATACAAAACTTTTATGGTAATCAAAATTACCTTAAATAAATCTACTAATCTTCCTTTTTGTTATTTTATGTTAGATGAAAGTATACATCACCTATTAATTATTTAGAAATATTATAATTTTATAGTTATAAAAAAATTAATTTGTATTTGTATTCCATTTATGATATTTAAACATTTGCTTTTATATTCTTTCTTTCATTTTTCTTTAATATTTGTGTTTTTTTTTTATAATATATAATTTATACAACTATACTATTTATATTATAATATAAAATTAAAGAGATGGAACATATGTTCATAATATAAATTGTAAAATCATATTAATTTTTAATTATAAAAGAAAAAAGCCTCATAATCGTGCCATATACAAATAAATTAGAAACTAAAGTTTTATTTTATAAAAAAACATAAAATTTAACTCCATATTATTGAAATGAGTTTTATGCATTTAAAATATATTTAATGAAATTTTTGTATGATGTGTTAGTATTAAATTTGACATTTATCATTCTAATTTTATGTAAAAATTATATTTTTTAAAAGCAATTATTATATACTATGATTCACCATATTATAATAATTAAAAATTGCTAATTTTTTTTTTTTTCAATAAAGTTATTAGATATATGTAATATTATTGTGTATACTACTAAATCAAAAAACACTTAAAACAATCATTTTCTTTTAAATATTTTAATTTGGTAACTAAAAATTTGAGGCTTATTACTCAACAAGTCATATAATGTGATAAGTAACTAGGTGCAATATAATTATTTTACATTGTTTAATTGAACAATTGACATGTTTACTTACATAAGTATCTGTAGTTAAAATTCTGAAAATTTTCAAAATTAAAAATAATTTTTTCTGACTTAACAAAAATAGTTTATATAATTATGTTTAATGTATATATTTCCATAATTGAATTTTAATGGTTATTCAATTATATATATATAATAAATCTTGTGTTATATAGATAAACCATATAAATCAAAAATCATCAAACTCAAATAAAAATTGAGACATTTCAGCTTGTTCTACCATATAAGGTGTTAATGGAAAAATTTGGTATTTTGTTTCAAATTTGATGAATCTATATCTAAACAAACACTCCAACATCCAATCCCAATAAATTGTTACTACTTTGTTATTGATAATCCAACCTGAAATTCATTTTTTATTTATAAACAACCAAGTTAAAAATATAAAAGTTGGATTTAGTATAAGTTTTATACTAGGTTCAAGGGCCTAAAAAAATGTAATTAGCTAATCCACTTTAAAAGAACATATTTCTTAAGAATATTAAAAATAAAATTTAAACTATTATCTAGACAAAAATTTAAGAATTAAAACATCAAAAAATTGTTGTACTTTTCATTGAGTTTTATTTAAATTTTTAAAATATTTGTAATCAACTAATATATTATGAATATCTAAAAATCCTAAAAGATTAATTTTTTTGATATTTTTTTCTTAATAATTTTGTATTAAACCCATTTAATTTTCAAAACTACAGATTGAGCTAACTTGACCTACACAAATCTCTAGTAAAAATATTACCCATTATAGTTTCTTCACTAGGCAATCCAACACCTTTGCCTTCAATAAATACAATATCAGCTAATACAACTCTTATGCTGTATGTATCATTTATTTTATCTACACTATCAGTCAAAATAAATCCAGCCTTTTTAATCCAGTTCTAAAACAAAAAAAGTAATGTTTTTATCCTTATATTTAAAATTATCTAGTATTTGTATAAAAATGAATCTTACTAAAATATCTTTATAATCATCATTTGATTCAATAGAGTTATGAACAAAAATTATGCAGTCATTTGCCCATGTCATAGGAGAATCAATAATCCCTCTGCCAACACGCCATGATATCATTGGGGATGGTTCACCTGACATCTCAAGAGGCATATAATTAACCTGAAATACTTTAAAAAATGAACAGGTTTTCTAAAAATTAACTTTTTTTTTTTACCTCTGGCAATAATGTTTTAGTATTTACACAATCTTCAACCCATTTAAGGGTTACAATAGCACGATTAGATAATAAGGCATTCATACACTTTTTTGTACGAGGACTAGTACCATCATCATTTGTTTTCACAACTAAATGAGTAATATTATCATCCCATGAAGGATTAATAAAAATATTGAATATACTCATAAAATTTCTTAAAACATTTAATTCATTTTCAGTATCCAAATTACTATAAGATAAAACCATCAATTTATTTCTAGATTTCTTAGATGAATGAGATTTATGAGAACATGATGATTGTCTAAAAAAAAAATTATACAAATTTTAACTAAAATAAAAATAATATTGTTGTTAGTAACACTTTATAAAATCATATATAAAATTTTTTTGTTTGGTAAAATCTTTTTTTTAAATGTGAGTTTTGATTCTGCCTATTCACATATTTTATAGCTTAAATGTAGGTCCAACATTACCTGTATAGAGGAAATATGCCCCTATTACACATAAGGTTGCTATTGTAATAGTTAGAAAGTAAAAAAAGTTTATAAAAAATATTTTTCACTGCTCTATATTTTTAGTTTTAAAAGAGCTCAATTTACAATTGAAATTGAAAAATTATTACATTAATTTTAATTTAATATTGTTGTCATTTAACATATAATTAATTACCCGTTTTCAAATGCAAATATCTTACATTTCAGAAGATTTTTCTGGTGTTCCTTCAATTACATCTTCTTCTATAGAGTTTTTAGTATTTTCTTTGTCTCTTGACAAATTTGTTTCTACGCTATTAGAAATTTTTTTACTATTAATGCATGCAGAATTATTCATTTTAATATTTTTTGAAATTTTTAGTTTTGTCTTTTTTTTTTCTGGGGTTTTCATCTAAAAATAATTAACATATATTTTTAAATAATCTTCATATTAGACTAATTAGATCAACACGTATTACAGCTACTTCATTATTAAAATTTAAACATTTTGGTTTAAATTTTTCTGGAGAATCATCAAATAGTATTTTAGGTGAAAATGGTTGGATAGAAGGTTCTACTATAAATTGTTTTTCAGTTCTATTAGAATTTGGTTCAGCAATTGAAGTATTTTTAGTATCATCATTATTTAAATTGACAATCCTATCAGTAAAAAAATTACAATTAAATTACATTTAAAAATATAAGTCTTTATTTTCATAAAATAATTATTCTATTACGTAGGACTCTTGTAATATAAAATATAAAATCATCTAGTTAAAAGGACTGATAGAGAACAAGCTTTGAATCAGTATTTTTCGAGATATTAGCATTTCAAAATGAAGGCTTGAAGTGAGGCAGGAGTATTGATATTTTTATAATTAGAAATCTCTCAGTTACATTCCTCCTCGAACATAGGTACAAAGATTGTTATAAATCAGTAATATTCCTAAATTGATCATTTTTTAATATTATAACTAATAAATTTGTAGGTTTTAATAAAAAAGCTCAAATTGATATAGATTTAACCCTTCATTGAAAATACATAATACATGTTTACCAAAGTTACTTTAAATTTCATGTCCAACAAGTAATAACTATTGGAATTATTCTAGAATACAATATTTTCAACGTAAAATTTTTAATTTATGCAATAGAGAGATATGAAGAGGGGAAAGAACAAGATTTTTTTTTAATAAAGCATATAAAAACTTATAAATATTTGAAAAAAAAAATTGTCAACTATTTTGTATTTTTGAAGGTATTGCGTGAGGCCTGAGGCGGGCAACGATCTGGACAGTTTCGGCGTACCGAACGGTGTCCGGAGTGGCGGCGGGTATCCTGTTGTCACTGCTCGCCATGGAACGCGCTGCCGGGCATGAGCTCCGCCAAGAACGCGGCCGATCCCTCGAACCCGAGGGATCGGGTATCTTATTAAAGTAGGAGGAAGCGGAACGCCCGAGACAGAGGCAGCCACGCCGCCCGGCACAGGAGGACCTGAGGCCATAGGTTCTTGTTTTGTTTTTGAGTTATTTTGGCAGTCCTCCCTAACGGTTCCCACTCTGGGATCCGGTTAACAGGAGAGGGCCACACCACATTGCGAATCAGCTCTTGATTAAGTTCGGGCTGATTCACAACGTGGTGGTGTGAATTATTAAGATGACATGGGCCGCCCTGAAGTAATGTCTAACAGCAGTTCCAGGGCGGCTCACAATAAGCCGGTCGAGGAAAAAAAAAGGCATTGCGTGAGGCCTAGTCAATCACCATACATATGATATATATATATACAATGTATAAGATGATAATTGACATATATTTATCTAATAAAATAAAAGAATGATTTTAAGTGGACTTACAACTTTCAACCTATTAGTCATATTACAATATAATATAATAGAATTAATATTATTATTTTTTTAATAATAATATTTCATTATATAAAATTACAGAAAGTTATTGAGTATAAATTATAGATATACAATAAATAGCTATTTAACTTAAGAAAGACTATTACATGCATAAATTACAACTATTATAGCCTATTTAATTTACATTTTTATTTATTTATTTATTTAGTTTTTGGATATTACTTTTAGTATTTTCTGATTTAAAAAACATTTAGGATTAATAGAATTAAATAAAAGAAATTAAATCACATTAATAAGTTGTAAATATTTACCTGTTATTCTGTTCAATTTTAAATTCATTTTCATTATCTAATGTTCCTTTTCTAAAATATTATACTAATATAAAATATGCATGTTGGAAAATTAATATTGAATAACTTTTCAGTGAATTTGCTTACTCTAAGGCTAATACCTTCCATACAAATTCTTCCATTTGCGAATATGCTATTTTCATTTCCTGATTTGAAGTAACATGTTTTTCTACATCAAAAACTTTATTACATGCTGGACAATAAGAAGTATTATTTTTAATGTCAATACATTCTTGACAAATTAGATCATGACAAACACCAATAATTATCCAATCTTTGGCTGGTTTTTTACTATCAATCATAATAAATCAATAATTTATACAGCTGAATTAAAAACAAACACAGTATAGCAAGGACGTGGCCTAGTTGGCTCCAGTATAGATTTAATCTGACAGTGATTAAAATCACTATCATAAGAAATGCTTTGATGCAAATCGATAGATAGTGTTTTATTCTAAGAAATTAGTGGATAATTACAAAAGCAAAATGAACTCCTATTTTCTTATTTATAACATGATTAATAATTCTTAGATTCAAAAATATAATATATTATAATCAATTTTTTAATTATATATTATATCAATTTTATAATTGTTTCCAAATTATTATTGATTTTGATTTTTAATATGTTAAAAGTTATTACTTTTAATATACTTTTTTGTGTCCTTAAAAGTGAAAATTTATAATAAAAAAAAATTAATTTACTACATTAACTATTAGCTCAACTTGCAAGTTTGAAATTGCCTTCATTAAATAGAAAAAAATTGTACTCTTCATATTCAATATTATAATGTGTACATATTTGGATCACTCTGTATATTAAAAAACATAATTATTGGCTCTGCTCTTGAAAAATTGACTATTTTTATTAAAAATAAATTTAGAGGATCATAATTAAGGTGTCCTAGCTTAGCTAGGTTTTTTTTTTTTAAAGTTTTATAATCATTTTCAAAAATGCTGAAATTTTCATAGTAAAATGTTTTTACTCTATTATAATTGAATGAAAGATGTTAAAAAAAATAATTACACTTTTCAAAACAATTGTTTTAAATTTAAAATTACTTAAACAAATTATTAATGATGATGATAACATGACATTTTTTTCTATCCTCTTAAAAGAACTCTTTTAAATTTCTTTTAAGCTGTTTTTTGGGAAAGTTTATAATAAAAAAAATTAATTAAACCATAACTTTTAGCTCTACTTGCAAGTTTGAAATTGCCATCATTAAATAGAAAAAAATTGTATTGTTAGGATTAATATGCAGTCAGGAAATTTTATGATTACTATTCACAATAAATTGATCAGAAAAGCTCTATTTTGTTTTTGCATTTTTACTGTAATAAATCACTTAAATATAAATCATAGTAATTATTTATAATTAACTTTTGGTGTTTAAAAAGGTTCTACAATTGAGACATACAGAACTGAATTAATTTTAATGATTTACTTTAACTAAAAAAACTAATAAAAAAAAAAATTGTTAATAATATTCACTCAATTGAGCGTATTATAAAATTTGATTATAATTGTAAAAATCGATTGTTGAATTCAGTTGATACTAAAAATCATTTTTTTTTTTAGATTTATGATTTATACATTAACATGTTACAAAAAAATTTGAAATGTTATACACTGGTAGTAGCACAGACAAATAAAGTTAAAAATTAATAAATTACAAAGTAAAATAATTTACTTTTGCAGTTGATACTTTTATCATATCAAATTGAATTTGACAATAAATACTTTAAAAATATTATAAATTAATGATTATAATTGTTTGTATAGATAAAGCTGTTTAAGCTACTTTTTATTTGATACAGGGATTTTTTTCCAATTTTTGAGGGTAATATCTTCAACTAAATTGCAATCATTTAACATGTCGTTGAAAAAAGTAAGTTAATTGACGGTTGGAAAAATAAATCTCAGCCACAAAGAAACCACATAGTAAAATAACATTAACATGAATAAGAAATTTCTTCTCGCGGGAAGAGACTACAGTGATCGTGTCCTTGATATTTATTGAAGTTATTGAATCTAAATGAGATAAAAATCAAATTATTTGAACATTTTTTTCTAACTAAAAAAAAATGCAAAATATTAATTGTTATAGGCAGATTCGAACCTCATACCCTAAGTGTGAAAGACACAAGTGTTACCTAGTCGGAAACTATTCGTTACTTTACTTTTGATAAAATTGGTAATTTATGCTAACTCAAATTTTAAAGTTATTTTTTCGACTTTAAATAAACAAAAAAATTTAAATAAGTTTAACTTTTTATGTCCTATGAATTTTATACTATGTCAATTAATTTATATAATAATCATGAAAGTCAGTGTATTCCCCTTGTAAGATATTTTAAAATATAATAAAATACAAAACCTAGAATTTTAACAAAAAATGAGCATATTTCTGAATACAGTAGCTATTTTCATAAAAAAAAAATCTATATTACGAATTTTTTTTTTTCATAGTAAATTATATAATATAAGCTTTAATTTAAGATTAAATAAGTGTCAATATTTCTGGAACATTTTTAAAAATTAAATTGAAAAATCTTAACTTGTGGGCAAAAGTTGTTTTTTTGAATTTCCCCTGTGGCCTGGTTGTCAGATTTAAAAAAAAAATTATTTTAATTTGTTCATTTATTAAAAAGTTATGGCAGTTTTAAGTATTAAAATATTTTATGTTAAACAGTGATTTTTACATAAAAATTACATTTTTTTATTAAATTCGACGATCATTTTTCCATAGTAGAAAAGGTGTCGGGACAAATTTTTTTTTTGAGCTTGAAAATGAAAGAGGTATATATAATGTATTTAGAAAAAAAAATGTGTTGATATATACATTTTTCGAAATTTTATAGCAATATGAAAACGAAAATTTTAACTCAAAAATAGCATTTTTTAACTACGGCAGCTGTTTGCACATAGAAGATAAAATGTCGGGACAAATTTTTTTTTTTTAATTCATCGTACGTAACATAAGCTTTAATTTGACATATGTTTAAAAGACGCATTATTTCCGGAACATTTTCAAAACTTAAGTTGAAAAAGTTGAATTTTGTAAAAAAGTTATTATTTTGAATTACTTCTTGTGGGCAGGTAAAGAGTCAATTTTTCAAAAATATTATTTCAAATAAAAGGGAATTACTTAAGGTTTTTATATTAAAAAAAATTATGTTGATTTATTAATAATTAATAATAATACAATTATTGTATTATTATTTATTAATAATTAATAATAATACAATTATTGTATTATTAAAATAAATAGCTCTAGTGAGAAGTGAGAAAAAATGGCAACAGACACAAAAAAACACATCATGGTAAAATTAATACCTTCTCAGCATAAATTACTTGTGTATAGTGTGATAATTGAAAAATTTTAAATGAAAAAAGTTGAAAAGTTTTTTCTATAAAATAAAAACTTAGATTAATAGGACTATAAAGATGAATCTTTATAAAGATTTTTTAGTTTTCTTGTTGACATTAACATTTGGTACAAGCAAATTTACTATTTATATTTGAAAAAAATTAATTAATTTTTTTCAAATTAAGGTTTAATTAATTTAAATAAACACAATATAAAATTTATTAAAAAATATCCAAATATCATTTATTAAATGAACACATTGTAAGACTAAATTGTGTAAGCTAAATCAAGTTATATTAATTGAAGAGTAAAAAATTACCATTTTCCACATATTTGATCAGGAACCAGTAACTTGTGTTTTAACGACAGTAAATTAAATAACACATCATTTTGTTTTGAAGCCTTGTCTACTAAACTAGATTTTTCTTTAAACATTTTTAGAGATTAAAACCAATTAATTGAAAATTTATTGTATAATAATTAATATTAATGGAAAAAAATATTTTAACTGAATTTCTTTTATATAAATAATTTTATTGAAATTTTAAATCGCATTATAATTTTACATAATAAGTATGATTCTCAATTTATCCCCTTTATCGAATACTAAGATATATTATGTTTATATTGAAAGGCGCCAAAATAGCTAATCAGTTTGACATTATCTAAAATTATTTTTATTTTTGTATAAGAGTAATTAAATTATTTGTGTGGCAACACTGCTGTATACAACATAAATTTGTTCATTGCGTTCTAAGTTGAAGACTCAGCCTTCCATAATACAATATAACAATACTGATAACGAGATTACTTTGTTATTCAAGCTTAACGGTTTTTCTTATTAAAAAGTTAACACAGACTATATGTAAATGTAGTTTAGTAAGCTATTCAACTGTCTTTCAAAATGGCTAAATTTGTCGTACGTATTCGTAATAATAAATTTATAATCAAATGTGGCTTTGTAATTTTGTTTTTTTAACCCTGCACGTTTTATTTTGTTATTGGTTAACAAATTACAATGAAAACTTAAACATATCATTTTTTGTTAATAAATAATTATATTAATGAATTTATAATTGTGCCATTTACACTTATTATAATATGTCTTAAATGAACAATAATTTTACAGGTTGAATTTTCACCTCCCGTCAAGACAAATTCTCAAATTAATGACTGTAAAGATGTCGAAAATTATCGAATGATTTTAGCACCATTTCAAAAACAAACCCAAGTAGAATTTTCTAACATTAAACTTAAAGAAACAGCAGTCAGGTGTCTGACAGTAGTTAATCCACTTGATAAATCAGGACAGGTATTAATTGTATTATTTTGTTTTATTTATTTATTCAAATGGCATTTGACCAAATAAAATTACATTTATAAATTAATTAACCTAGTTTGATTAATAAAAATTATTTAAACATTTTAACATAAAAACATAAAGGTTATAAATACATTATTAATATTAACAATTCTTATCTAAATTATTTAACTATACTTGAAACTAATCAATAAAAGAATAAAATTGATCAATATTTAAGTTATTAATATTATACATAGATCTAATTACAGATGAATAATGACAATAATAAGAATGCTAGAATAGCATATAGAAAGTATTAAAAAGTTTAGTTCTAATATTAGATACTATAAAGTTTATTTTACTAATTAACTCAAGGCAGTATATAAATTCTTTTATCAATTCAAAATGGAAAATAATGTTATTTTATTTTCTTTATATACTTATAAAATCAAGCTTCAAGTTGTTTAATATAGATGACATAATGAATGAGGCTAATACAATATGCTATATTTTATGTAAATAAATCTTAAAAATGATTTTTTAAAATTTGAGATTCACCCTCTGTATAAAATAGCCAAACTATAAAATTATAATAAACTATAGATTGCACAAAAAAACAATATAATGTTTTAAGAATAAATGATTTCTTAAAATCTTTTCAATGTTGATTAATAAAACCTAACAGAAGATGCTTTATTTTATATGTAAATATAATACTCTGAAAATGAAAGAATAAAATTAAACAAACTCCTAAATTTAAAGTAACTCATAACTAATAAATGATGTTAAATCTTTTTTTTATTCAAAAGTATTTACCTATTTAAAAAATTTTTAAATTTATTTAATTATTGAAATAGTTACAAATAGTGAATTTTTAAAAATTAAAAAAAAATAATTTGTAGGTTTAAAAGTTATTGTATTGATGCTATTTTAATGTTAGTTATGATTAAATACATTATTGTAATTAATGAATATTTTTAATTATTTAATTTATCACTTTCAGTTTGTGTTACCTCCTTCTAGTGATGGAATATACTTTGATATATTTGAATTTTCATTAGGCCCTAATCAGTGCCGTGATATTATGATTACTTGGAATCCATCACAATATGGAAATATACGCAAGTCGATCAAAATCGAGCAGAAAGACTGTAACAAGAAATATGAGTTTGTTATATTAGGAAATTGTATTTATCCTCCAGGCAAAACATCCAAGGTTCATTGGAATTTAATTTATTTGAATATACAGCCTTTAATTAAAAAAATAATTATTGATTTTGTTTGTATTGACTGTCGTTTATTATTTTATTATTTTAGACTGTTGCTTCCAATTATTTAAAACCAAAATTATCAAACATTTCAAAAAAAATTGTAAATTATGGGCAAGCAAATAATTCTGTTATTAAAAACAAAATCATCAAGGAAAATTCAAATCAAATACCTGAAGTAAAATCTAATTTTCATACAAATAATACATATGAAGAAGATTCACTACAATCACAGATTAGAAGACAAACATTTTTAGTGGGTGAAAAAGAAAATTATCCAGTTTCCAAAAAAAATATATTAGGACGTGATACAATCTTAACGAGCCCTGAACATAGTATTAAACGTCCAGATCCACAACGCCAAGATCATTGTTTTAATAGTCATTTTAACATTCAGAATAAAAGCTCAAGTCCAATGAGTGATGATTCATTAGACAAACCTTTAAAAATTGTATCTACACGATCCCCATTTAGTGATTTGTGTTTTACCCCATTAAAAAATACTAAAAATATAATGTCTCCATTTACTACTTCAAAATGTACTCAAAATGATAATGATATACAACAATTAAGTTTTGATATTCAAGATGGAGCATCAGCATCTACATCATTAAATTCTTCATTTGGTTTTAAGCCAATAGAAACTTCAACTGTTGCTAAAATATATTCACCAGAAGAAAGAAAGCCAACCAGAGTATCTGTAAATCTTTTAAATGTTTATGATAAAACCGCTGAAGATGAAGAACCTGCAAGTACTACTTACATAAAAGATAAAATTACCCAAGAATTAAATTTAACTCCACCTTTTTCTAGTATAACAAAAATTAACACAGGTTCAACATCTTATAATATGAGTTACCGTTCAAGTAATTATTTATTATATTAAAAAGACTATCAAGAATATTTATTTAGAATCAATATTATTTACATCTGATTTTCATTTTCATTAAAAAAAAGTAAACTAATTCTCATGTTGTGAAATAATATTTAATTTTTAATTTACAATATTGATTTATATAAATTTCTTTTTGTCAAATTTTTTCTTCTTGTTTAAGTTTACATTGTTTTTTTCTTATAGTGGTAACATGCAGTGGTGTTAAACCCAAAAGACCATCATTTGCTATTAAGAATTCTCCCTACTATAAATGTAGTCCTAAGTCAACTGCAATTACTAAAACTAAACTAAAACAATATAGTAAGTAAATATCATATACTTATAATGTTCTGGTTCACTGCATATGGGTGTGATTTTTATCATTCAATTTCTGACTATCCTTTATTTATATTTAAATCTTATTACATCAAATATTTATATTATTTGCATTTGTCTAATATCTCAGGTAATAGTCCAATTAGAGCATCTCGAATGAAAATACCAAATCTTGACAAGTGTGATCAGTATTTAAAATGTCTGGCAAATCCAGAATTAGTGTATCATAATAATGCCGAAGATCCATTTTTAAAAATGTGAGTTAATTAATTAATTTATCACTAAAAACTTAAATAAAACATAAGAGTTTAGTATTTATAGTAAATAGAAAATATCGAGGTACAAAAATTCTACAAAAATAATTCTTAAAATGGATTAAATGAAATTTATTATCTAAAACGAAAATTGTGAAATTTATACAATGTAAATTGATACTTAAATCACAAAAATTAATTTATCACTTGCCTTTTTGGATTAATTGATTTTGATAATTAAATATAAGTTGATTTATTTATTTATTTGTTAAAAATTAACTCAATAGAACAAAATTTAGCCAGTAGTTTTCATCTGATGATATTATTTATGCGCATGATGGATGCCAGACATATTTTTTTATTTAATGCTTATCCAAACCACTGTTATTAGGCTTGCTTAAAAAAATACACTTAATAAATTATAAAAGAAGCAAAATCTATATATATCTCAATTTAACGCATAGATCTTATTCTTTCACATATTTATATGTTAATGAGTTAGTTGTTATAAATATATGAAAATGTATTGGAAATGTTAACACAAAATTAGTTTTGATAAACAGATATTCAAACCAAATTTATTAATATATTCCAGGAAAAATGTTAGTTCTTGAATAAAATAATATATTTTTTAAATCTTGTGAAAGAATTGTTTTCCTATTCAATGTAATATCTAAAATGAGCTTTTCAAATGTAGTTTCATTATTTTCAATAGGTCTTTTTAATTAATTGATTTGAACAGTTTTATCATTTTCCATAAGAGAATAATCTTTCCACATTTATTTGTATTGTGTCTAAAAAGTTTTAAAATAAATATTTTCTGTTAAACTAAATACAGTAAATAAATACACAGTTAAAATTGTTTGTGATTTTATGGAATGATGTTCAGTTAAGTAATATATTAAAGTAATAGAAAAAAACATGTATAGAATAACATTGATAGACTGACTGCATACAATCATTATTGGATGATTATTAGTGATGGGCATTTTCGAATATTTAAAACTATCGAATAATTATTCGAATAGTTTTTATACAACCGAATAGTTTATTTTTAGCATAAACTATTTGAATGGGCTACCGAATGGTTTTAAAAAATATTTGATTAGTTCTACCTAAAATTTTTATTAAGTATACTTAATTATAATAAGAAGATAATTAACGAATACTTATAAATAAATTATTATACAATTAATAATAGTAAAAATTAGTAATGGGCATTTTCAAATATTTTAAACTATCGTATAACTATTCAAATTGTGTTTATACAACCGAATAGTTTATTTTTAGCATAAACTATTCGAATATATTGTGTAACTATCGAATATTTTTACTATTCGATATTTCCCATCACTAATGATTATCCACCTTTATCTCTAGAAAAAACTCGCATTACCATTTATCTAAATGTCATTTATCGATTCTAACATTTATTAAACAATAATATAATCGTTCACTCAATTATAAGACCTATTATCTCTTTATTTAATCTGTATTAGAAATTTACAAGTGATGATAAAACCAAAAATAACATTTTGTTGAAGTATTTCTTAATTCTAGGAATAATAGAATTTTTTAGATGATTTGGAATACTGTTCTGAATATTAAAAAAAAATTTATTTGAAATAGTATTTGGAATACTAAAAAAATAATCAAAATACAATAATTGGAATAGTGTATTCAGAATATTACCCAAGACTGATTATTGTACTATTATGCTAATAATATTATAATAAACAATTTAAAAATGTTATATATAATTTAGGTCCCAATATTATGAAACTGAATGGCTGAATCGTCAAGAATCTGATATGATTCGTTGGCTTAATGCTCTTTTAACACCAACAGAAAATTTAGTAGATGAAGATCATTCTGGTGATTTAGAGCAAGCTGCTATGGCTTGGGTAGAAGCATCTAAAGATTCTCATAAAAATAAACCTATGCAATTGGCAACGCAAAAAGATTTATTTGTTGCACAAATTTATAGACAATCTCCTCAACAATGGAGTGCTTTACGAAAAGCTACATCAAATCTTTGTACTTCTCAAAGAATAGCAACTGTATTATCAAAATTAACAATTTCAATTGAGAAAGATCTAATTACAGTGAGAGATGATCGTCAAATTCATTTAGATTTGAGTATGCCTAGTTAAATAAGAATATAGTAAAAATATAAATTAGTATAAATCATAAGTTTATTTTTTGAACATAATTTTTATTATCCTAAATTAAAATTTAACAATATTTTAGTTCTAAGATTCTATACTTTACAGGTTTAAAAAAAAAGATAATTGATTTACTCAAATGTTATAACCCTTTATGGTTTCGTATTGGTTTGGAAGCTATATATGGACAAATTGTACCTGTTAAAGTAGGTTCAACTGATTTAGATGGAGTAGGATGGTTTATTCGGAAAAATTTATTTAATAATGATTATGTGAAGAAAAAATTTACCAAAACCACTGTTCTTCAAGTTAATCTTCCATCATTCAATGTAAGTATTATTTTTATGAAATTTATTTAAAAACCTACTGATTTAAATTTATTTTTAAATTCCAGATTGCCATGAAAAAGTTTATTTTGCGTAAAATACTCATGCTCATATATTTTTTGGATTGTGCGAAAGAACAACATTTAATACGGCATAACCCATGTTTATTTAAACTGGATTCACCTTACAAAGTACTAATAATTTAAATACATATTTATAATATACTTAAATACCTATAAATATTTATTTAGAGCAGTTATGATTTTCTTATGGCATTCTGTGCTGATCTGGTAACAGCTCACGGTGATATAGTTCGTCGTCTACGTAACATTGGTTATATTTTAACTCATAAACAAACACATTTAGATGAGGTTAATTATGCTGTTAAATCTTTGAATGATTTACGAGATGGTACTAGAATTACCAAAGTAGTGGAAATTTTATTTAAAGGTGATCCATTATCACAAAAATTACGTTTACCAGCTATTTCAAAACTACAAAAAATTCATAATGTAAATTTAGCGATACAAAGAATTTTACAACACATAACAATTGAAGGTAATATAAGTACTCGAGATATTGTTAATGGCCATAGAGAAAAAATTCTGTCTCTTTTTTGGCAAATAATTTATAAATATCTAACTCCAAAATATAATAAAGCTGCTGAAAAAATCCAAAATTGGTGGCGTAACAGTAGTTTAAAATTGGTCATTTTAAAAAGAATAAGAGCAAAACGAATTGCTAAACGTCACATGGCTGCTATCATAATACAGTCACATGCTCGTGGATTTATAACAAGAAAAAAGTGGTCAATTCTTAGGCCTCAATTAGTAAGTAATAGAGAAAAATTACATATGGCTTCTACTACTATAAAACGTTATTTACAAAAAAAATTAAAATTTCTAACTGAAGAAAGAAAAAATTTCATTATTTTAAGAAGAACTACTATATTTATACAAAGTAAATTTAGAGCTTACATTGCTATGAAAAAAGCTAAAGAATTTTACTTAAAAACAAAACTCTCTGTAATTATCATTCAAAAAGTTTTTCGTGGTTTTCTTATAAGAAAAAATTGGCTTATGATTAAATATAATCTAAATCAGGAAAAACAAAAAAGAACTAACGCTATTAATGTAATAAAACGAGTTTTAAGAAAGAACTTACCATTTACTGATGAAAGAATTAATTATCAGAAATTGACACATTTTACAATATGTATTCAGAGACGTTTTAGAAATAATTTCATGATGAAAAAACAAAGAAAACAATATTTAATTCTTAAACACACTGCAATTGTTGTACAACAAAGATATAGAGCTAACTGTGCTATGAAACAACAAATAAATCAATATTTAACTCTTAAACACGCTGCAATTGTTGTACAACAAAGATATAGAGCTAACTGTGCTATGAAACAACAAAGAAAAATATATTTACTGTTACTAGTAAACATAGTTCAAATTCAAAGTTATGCAAGAGGTTATATATTTAGAAAACAATGGCCAGTTATAAAAGAAAAATTAGAAATCAATAGACAACATTTAGCTAAATGTAGTAACATTATCAAAAAAGCGTTAAGGAAAAATCTTCCTCTTACAAATGAATATAAATATTTCACAAAATTAAAAAAATTTACAATTGTGATACAAAAACAATATAGGATGAAAAAACAATTAAAGGAATACACATTGTTAAAAAGTTCTGTTGTTATTATTCAGAAAAAGTTTAGAGCCAATCAGGCTATGAAACTGCAAAAGCAAATATATATTAAAACTAAAACTATGACAATAAAATTACAATCATTAATACGTGGATATTTAGTGCGTAAAAATTGGCCTGAAACTAAGTGTAATCTACTGGTTGAAAAAACAAAGCTAGTGAATGCTAGTAATAAAATTAAAAAATTTCTTCGGAGATCCTTACCATCTACTAAAGAGAGAATACACTATCAGAAATTGACACATTTTACAATATGCATTCAGAGACGTTTTAGGACTAATTTCATGATGAAAAAACAAAGAAATCAATATTTAACTCTTAAACACGCTGCAATTGTTGTACAACAAAGATATAGAGCTAACTGTGCTATGAAACAACAAAGAAAAATATATTTACTGTTACTAGTAAACATAGTTCAAATTCAAAGTTATGCAAGAGGTTATATATTTAGAAAACAATGGCCAGTTATAAAAGAAAAATTAGAAATCAATAGACAACATTTAGCTAAATGTAGTAACATTATCAAAAAAGCGTTAAGGAAAAATCTTCCTCTTACAAATGAATATAAATATTTCACAAAATTAAAAAAATTTACAATTGTGATACAAAAACAATATAGGATGAAAAAACAATTAAAGGAATACACATTGTTAAAAAGTTCTGTTGTTATTATTCAGAAAAAGTTTAGAGCCAATCAGGCTATGAAACTGCAAAAGCAAATATATATTAAAACTAAAACTATGACAATAAAATTACAATCATTAATACGTGGATATTTAGTGCGTAAAAATTGGCCTGAAACTAAGTGTAATCTACTGGTTGAAAAAACAAAGCTAGTGAATGCTAGTAATAAAATTAAAAAATTTCTTCGGAGATCCTTACCATCTACTAAAGATAGAATAAAGTACTTGGAACTAAGAAAAAGTGTTATGAAAATTCAATCTTTATACCGTGCTAATGTTCTAATGAAACAACATGAAAGAGAATATTTGTTACTCAAAGATAGTGTTGTTACTGTCCAAAGGCATTTTAGAGCTCAAAAAGCAATGAAAATTCAAAAATCTAACTATTCTTCCATGATAAAATCTATTATTGTCCTACAGTCGCTTACTAGAGGATACTTAGTTCGAAAACAATGGCCAGAAATAAAGATTACTTTAGAATCTTATCAGAACAATGTTATTGAGGAACAAGAGGTACGTTGTAATATTAAAAATTCTGGTTTTTAACCTAGTTTCATGAAAGTAGCTCGCATGATCTTATATTAACTTCTTTGTGGGATAGTTACACTTCTTTTTAATTTCTATCATTTAATAAGTAAATAGCTTTATAATATATAAAATTGAAAAAAAATAGTGGCAAAATTATTTTTTATGACATGTAGTGTAAAAAGTGGTTAGCAGCCCATGCATTTCTTGTTAAAACGGAAATTGAAATGCGAGCTACTATCAAATTGCAAAATTGGACTAGAAATGTGTTAATCCGTAAGTGCTTCCAGAAAAAGAATGTTGCTGCTGTTAAAATTCAGGCGGCTATTCGTGGATTTTTGGTTAGAAAGAACTTTCCACAACTCATTAACAAACTACAAATTGAAAAACTATCCTATGCCGCCACCATTATTCAGGTACACAAATAAATAAATAATAATTTAAAAATAGTACTGAAGATTCTTTTTAAATAATAGTGAGTAACTCAATAATTTTTTTTTTATAATTTTAGTCAGCTTGGAGAGGTTATTGTATACGTAAAAAATACAATTGTAGAAGAGAAACAATTCGTTTTCCTAAACGAGGAGCTTTAACACTAGGTAGACGACATCATGATGTGGAAGATGTTCTGAGAAAACAAAAACGGAATGAATATTCATATAAAGAGCTAGCTGCTGTTTTCTGGACTCTTGGTAACAAAATACGACTTAATGATTATAGTATAGAATTATTGAACTTAAACTTCATAAATTTTTTTAGAATTGTGTACATCACTTTCAAAAGAGCTGTGTATTAAAACAGCTGAAGGTACAATTGTTGATTATATTTTTCATTTTCTACAATATTCCAATCAATCTCAACCTAGCATAGAAGCTAGAGAACCTGCTATACGCGTACTTACTAATTTATTGCGTTACCATGAAACTTCTTGGCATATTTGGAGGGTAATTTTTTTATTAATTTTTAAATAATATAATTTATTAATTTATTTCTTCTACAGAAAACAATTAGAGCTGACATGATAAAAGAATTAATTAAAATGATGAAGACAAGCTGTGGAAAAATCGGTGCTAGTAAATTGTATTGTTCAATTGCTACTTGGCTTTGGATTGCCATGCAAGATCCAGAAAAGAAAAAAGTAATTTTAGTATAATTTTCAATAAATAGTATTTTTCTAAATAAAGATATTTAAAATTATTTAATTAAAATAATTATATATTTTTATCTATTCAAGTGTTAAATTGAATTATATGAATAATTGACTATCAATACGATTTAGTTCATTCATGAAAACCTTCTCTTACCTTTTTTCATTCAGAATAAACTTTAATGATTTTTACAGGGATAATAACTTTTTGTGCAATTATTATTGTTTAACAAAATTTTAAGTGATTAAGTTACAAAATGCCAGCAAGATTAAAAAAAATTTTTTTTATTTCAGATTATTCAAAATATTTCTATTACTGCGATAGACTTTAAATTTATGATAGGCGTATTAAATAGAAAATATAAGACTCGAAAACTTGATAAGAAATTTATGGTGTTACCATCATTAAAGCCGACATGGAATATTGGTTCTATATGTCAAAAATGTTTTGAATCTGACCTTTATGCTACAACTCAAATTTGCAAACTATTAAATGTAAAGTGATTTTTAATATTTTTCTATTATCCTATATATTTTATTTCTTTACGTTTTATTATTTTATAAAAAAAGTTTTACTAGTTATAACTGTTTAAAATTTGTTGTGTGTAATTATAAATATTGATTTAAATATAAATCATTAGTAACTATTTTAGTTATTTTACAACTTTTATTAGTTTTTATAGTTATATAATTTCTACTCATTACACAATTTAATTTTAATATTCATATATTTACAAAATAAATAAGAAGTATTTTAGATTATGATTATAATTATCAATAATTTTTTACTACGTTTTTTATTATTTATTAGCAACATAGTTGACATACACTTGGAATACTTACGAAGTCATTTAATTTTTTTAATACTAATAATAATTAATACTTTCTTCATAAAAAATCTTTATGTTGTAATTAGTTTATTTCAATTAAAAATTTATCATAAAAATATTTTTATGAATGAAGTTATTTATATATATATAATTTAAATATTCAAGATTTTAAACAGCTTCATTTATTATATTTTATATTTTGTAGCTGGCTATTATTTTAATCATGTAATTAGTGAATAAAAATTTGTTAATGTATATATTTTAAATCAGTAAACCAGTTATAGATAATATAATAACTTTTAGGTATATTGTTGAACATAGTGATTTAGTTATTATAAATACATACCATATTACCATTAAAAATGATTTATATACTCACTAATTTAAAGCCCAGTTTATGGATTTTCAAAAATAGTCTTTACAAAAATCTAATTTATAATCGAAATTATAAAGAAGGTAAGATTTGTATAAATACATTAAAAGTTTCTTTTCCAAGTACTGTTGAAGAAGCTATCAATAAACAAGTGAATGAAGAATACAAATCAGCTATGGTGTATCGGTCAATGGTAAATATATTTAGCTTTGTCATTATTTTAACTTTATATTCTGTACACATTCAATAAATCAGTATCATACACAAAACCATAATTTCAGTTTTTATAAGAAAGACAAATATGTATATATATATATATTTTTTTAATTTTCAAAACCTATATTGATCTGAATTTTTTAATCCAATCAATTCATCCCATCCGTATGATAATGAAATTATTCTTACGAGATTATTCCTACTGATTTCATGATGACACAATGTCTCTGATTATATTAAATTCATTAAAAATGTATTAATTTAATATAGATTAATAATTGTAATCCGGTTGTACTTAAAATAGGGATTGAATTAGTTTAATCTTCTTTTAAAGTTAATTGATTAATTAATGTGGATGAAACTGAATAAACCCAAACTCTGGATTTCATACTCCCAATCCAGATAACGGGTTGAACAGAATTATGCTCTGAATTACTATTATTATGAATTAGAGTAATAAATAGAGAATTTAATTGAAAACATTTATTATTCAAATTTAACTTAAAAGATAAGCTATTATTTAATTCTCATGACAAAAATAAAGGGGGTTGTAGTATCATATCAAGATGGTTTTGATGATTTGTAGAAACCATTGCTGGATCAATGTTTGATGTTAATAAGATGGTAACATCAGCATAAGTTCCTAGGATTTAGGCGTATCATGGGCGAAGACAGAATACAAGAAAGTAGATATATCGCTACATTGTGGGACACCAACTTCAATATTGTAATTTAGGGAGTAGTCGTTGTTTTCTCTAACAGCAAATGTACGGTTTGTTAAGTGGGACTTGTAATTAGGAATTTTTTTAGTTTGAAAAGACCTATTTTACGTTAGTCTTTAATAAAAGCCTGAGCTACATCAAGTTGAACAGCAACATAGTACTGTTCTTTTTTCTAGGCTAATTGAAATATAATCAGTGAAGTTGATGGAAAAAAATGTTTGGATCTGAAGTCGAACTCATGGATTGGAATGATGTTGTGTTTCGTTGTTAAAGAAGTTTTTTTTTTAACAGAACTTTTTCAAACATTTTTAAGTAGGTAGAAGACTGTAGAGCGATAAAAAGAGACATACTCAGCGTGTTTGTGAGGGTTGAGTATGAGGACAATGATAGATTTTTAGGAAAATATGATAGTGTGAGTAGACTTTAAAAATAAAAGATAATGTGGTCTGATATTTTTAGAGGATATGATTGACTTTGTTGCATTAGCTTTTTTCTAGCTTTCTATGATTATGAGTCTTGAGTTGATAATTTTGACAAATAAGAATCAAAATATTAATTTTTGTAGTTTTGGAGAATTTTCTGCTTAGTTTATTTTTAAGAAAATTTAATTTGGCATTATCAGCTGGATATCTAAAGCGTTTACATTGGGATCTAATCGATCGATCTAATTTTTCTTGAAGTGGTTGTTTTAAGTGTACTGGTAATTAATTTTTAATAGGCGAAGAGGCAGACGCTTTTGTTGCTTTAATAACAGCTTGTTGATTTAAAGTGGTAAATGATGACTTGATCACTTTGTCAGCTTCATCTACATATTTTTAATATATCCGTAGGTTTAAGTCCAATTGACACTATCATTAAGTTTGAGTTGAGCCAATACCAAGTTCAAGTAGAACAAAAGTGTGATATGATGTATGCGTGTAGATTGTCTACACAAATGATTACCGAGTTAGATATTTTGATTATAAAAATATCGAAAGTCTGTTTTGATGTGCAAGCCAATATCTAGGACTTTGCAAAGGTTGCACCTAGTGTTTATTTTTAGTTAAAACGTTTTTAAGAACTCTACCTCTACTATTTACTGTACAGTTACTTCAGTTAGGATGTTTAGCATTAAAGGCATCCTCAGTAATAAATTAAATACCAAGAATGGTAAAATAGTGTTCAAATATGTCGTTAGATATTATATTTACAGGAGAACAATATACAAAGATTACTAACGGACAATTTTTCCCAGTTTTTAATAAGATAAAAGAAACTTAATGAAAAGCGATGAAAACGGAAGTAATGAGCTATGAAATATTGGTTTTAAGTAAATAAAGCTGTCCAACGTGTGCTGTGCCATCAAGATGGCAAGTGTAAGTTCTATAACTACAAAAATTAGTTTGAGTGTGTGTGGTGTAAAATTGGACTCGGATATGAGTGCAAGTTAGTCAATAGTCTAAAACTAACACCGAACTGATTTCTTTCAACGATACGTCAAAAGATCACAAATCGTATCTAGTCGAAGACATTACCCTTGAAAAAAAATCGCTCGTTTCCCGTAAATAGGGGATATTTCCAAAAAAATTACAAATTTTCAAATCGCTAAATTTTGTCATTTTTTTTTTACTCTTTTCTTAAAACTACCATAACTTTTTTTAAAATTAACAAATTAATATAATTTTTTTATATAGACAAACAACTTAATTTTTTTTTTATTGAACCTTAGATATTTTCCTTTCATTCGATATCATTTTTTTGAAAATTTTTAATACAAAAGATATATATATAATAAATGATCAATAAAACAAAAGCTTTACCGAAACGTCATTATATCGAATAAAATCGGTATTGAAGCAAACACCGAATACCGTTATGTGGATTTTAAATAACGCCAGCCCTAATTTAAGAGGTTTCGGTAAAATTATTGCAATTTCTATAAATAACTAATGACTTATTATGAAAACTGATTAATATCCTAACTCGTGACGAACTAATAGGAAGCACGTTCTTCTGTGATCCCTCATAGGGTTATCAAATTTTTTCTAGAAGGGAGAGGGGCTGTAATCTCTGTAGCAATTGTATGATATGCGTTTCATAATTTTTCATGCCTTTTTTTTAGATATTTTAATCAAAATTGAATACCTATATAAAGATTATCGAAAATGATGAAATGCTATTTGAATCACTAATTAAAAAGAAAAACGCATTTATCAAATTAATAATTAATAATTCGCATTAATAATTACTTTTAATTTGTAATTATTCAGTATTATTTCATTATAAAATTATAGATTTCTTGTAAATAAGATAACAAAAAACAGTAGCGCAGTGGGGTCGCGGCACAATATGGACGTGGGATAGTAGGGACAAGTGTCGTAACACAGAACAAAACAAACGAAAAAAGGAGTAGAGAGGTAAGGTGTGATGTGTACGAAGATAATGTTGATGTTGATGATACAGTATTTAGTAAATATAAATACTATTTACCGTGCTCAGCTGACACTCCGGATTAGCTGTGGGTGTCGAAAGGCCGTTGTTAAAGGAAGGGAATAAGGGTAACACCTAATTAGACACAAATACTAGACGTACCAAGTAAGAAAGAAAGTACGAAATTCAAGACACAAGTATTCTGAAATGTCGAGGACGAGAATAAGTAGTCGAAAAAAAGAAAAACAAAACTAACTCCTATTACTTTAATTATTTCCTGATTAGTAGTTTTTAGATTTGAAAATATAATTTATGAATAAATATTTATTATAGAAATTAAATATAGTATTAAATTAATATTTAATAATTTAATATGTAATTTTTATGGAGAAATAATAAAAAATAATAAAGTAGTATATTTCGTTACTTCTATGACAAACATGTATAAAAATTAAAGGATCTCATGCAATACTTTATAAAAAATAATATTTTTACTTTTAAATAAATACATTGGTCTACAAGGAACTTTCATCGGAATCAAAAATATACTTTTCTAAATCAACTTTTCGTACTGTTTTCTAATTGACTTTTTCTATTAACTTATTTCCAAGTTTTGATATTACTAATTATTAAAAAAAACCGAAAATTATAGTACAAAAATATCATGTTTTTCAATACGGTAGCCATTTTTACCATAAAGACAGACAATCTATAGTTTGAAAGTTTTTTTTTCATACTAAAGTATATGACATAAGTTTTAATTTAAGATTTGTGTAAAAGTGTCAATATTTCCGCAACATTTTCAAAAATTAAGTTGAAAAAGTACTTGTTTCTATACGCATGTTTAAAGTTTTGAAAAATTATAAAGTAGTTATTACTTTTATGGCAAACGTGTATAAAAATTAAAGGGCTTGACACAGAACTTTTTAGATAGAAATTTGTTATTAATTATGAATAAATGGTTTGCAAAAAATTTTCATTAGAGTAAAAAATATACTTTTATTATTCAATTTTTCGTGATAATTACAAATTAGCAATTATATGTTTTCCATCACCATTAATTTCTGATATTATTACTAATTACTATAAGGAAGATAGTTATGCATATTTCAATTATATCATCTATTTAAACACCAAGAGTTACATAGAAATTATTAATATTTATTAAATATTATGAAATGATTTATTACAATAAAAAAATAATTAAAAACACAAAAAAATTGTTTTTAAATTATTACAAATTTTTATTTTTAATATTTTAAATATAATCAGTGCAAAATATTAATTTAACTTATTTTTTGATATTTTAAAAAAATTTTTTTAAAGTTGATAATTAAATAAATAAAGTTGAATTTGTTATCATAACTTTAGCTCAACTTCAAGTTTGAAATTTACATTATTAAATAGAAAATTTTATGAGAATTAAAAAAATTGTATCGTTAAGATTAATATGAACTTAGGAAATTGTATAATTACTATTCACTGTAAATTTATCAGAAAAGCTCAATATTTTTTCAAATTTTTATTGTAATAGATCATTTAAATATAAATCATAGTAATAATTTCTAAGTAATTTTTGGCAATTAAAAATATTCTACAATTGAAATATTCAGAACATAATTAATTTTAATGATTTACTTTAACTAAAAAAACCAATTAATATGTTGCTAAAAAAATGTACTCAACTAAGTGTATTAGATCATTTGATGTATCGTTAAAAAAATTTGTCAAATGAGAGCTGAGAAAATAAACGAGTCATAAAAAAAAAAAATCACATAGTAAAAAATCTTTAATATGAATAAGAAATTTCTTCTCGCGGAGAGAGACTAGTGATCGTATCCTTGATATTTATTGAAGTTATTGAATTTAAATGAGATAAAAATCAAATAATTTAAAATTATTTTTCTATGTCAAACATTTTTGTAACGTATTTTAAACTAAAATAAAAAAGAAAACCGATAATTTTAACACAAAATTAGCATACAGAAGCCATTTTCACCATGAAGACTAAATGAAGTTCGAAATTTTATTTTTCATAATAAAGTATATTATATAAGTTTTAATTTAATATATATATATATAATAGTGTCAGTATTTCCGGAACACTTTTAAAAGTTAAGTTGAAAAAGTAAATTTTTTGTGAAATAGTTGTCATTTTAAATCCCCCGCTGTGGGCAGGTTAAGGGACAGATTTATAAAAAAAATATAAAATATATGATAGGTATATCATCAAAAAATTTATATTGATTTGGCCATTTTTAAAAAAGTTATGGCAATTTTAAGTAAAAAAAATTTCGAAAATTTCGAAAATTAGCGATTTTTAAATTTGTAATTTTTATGGAGATTTCCCCCATTAACAGAAAACGAGGGAAACTTTTTCAATTTTTGAGGGTAATGTCTTCGACTATGTACAATTTGTGATCTTTTGACGTATCGTCGAAAGAAATCGGTTCGATGAGAACTGAGAAAAAGTGGTATCAGACCTTCTCAGCTTCGCATCGAAGCTAAAATAAGTCAATTTCTTTAAAATGATGAAAATTTAATTCAATGAAACGTTATGGGTTTTAACATAATCGAAATGTAAGGTATTACAGATAATATAACTAAAGCTATGGTAGCTCCAAAGGATAAATTTTAATATCCTTTATGTGGTAGTACTATAAATAATATAATTTAAAGGATTATTATATTAAATTAGTTATCTATTTCTATTTCTCGTATGACTTATTTTATTTATTAGGCAAATTATTTCAACAGATATGATATAGCTTTAACAGGATTTTATAAACGGTTTATGAGACATTACAGTGAAGAAATCAATCATGCCGACGGTTTGATACACTTCATTCAACAAAGAGGAGGGCAAGTGGTACTTTATGACATAGAAAAACCACCAAATAAATGGTCAGACGTAGAAAATATTGTAAAAACAGCATTTGAACTAGAAAAAGATAATTATAATGTAATTATGAATTTTAATTTGTTGATTTTGAAATGTAGAGGGGATTTGTGACATTTTTAAATTTCGAAATGACGAGCTCACAACTGAGGTTATTAGTGCAACGTTTATGAAAAATTGTCTTAAAATTTTTATTTATATATTTAAAATATTCTATAGAACATTTTGTAATAATCAATACATTTACTATTGAAGTTTTTTTAAATTGTAGACGAACCTGACAGCAATTTAAAAAATTCAATATTTTACTCTTTTGTCAAATATACTATGATATATTTCAGTAATAATATTCGTGAAAACAAAATTTTAAATTAAACATTCAAGTATACTTCCAAAAATTTGTAAACATTGGTATACTTGAAACAATTTTTAAAATATACAGAGTGTTCAGTAAGTCAGGAAACGGGTTTCTATTGTTCTCATTGTTTGTAACAATGAGAACAATAGATACCCGTTTCCTAACTTACTGAACACCCTGTATAACAAAAGTATCATTAACTATCTTTGCATTCTAAGCACTCATTTTAACGTTTGTAAAAATAATCATAATTAGTGTATCACCCTTAGGCACTATTTAAAATTAACAATCTAGCTAATGAACATTGTGATGTTTCAACAAGTGAATTTATAGAATCAGTTTATCTAACAGAACAGCTTAAAGACCAAAAAGACTTGGCTGATTTACTCACGAAAGTGAAATATGCATTAGAATCAAAAACTATACATTTGCTCGACTACAATATCGAACAAGCAGAAACCGAACAGTCAAAATATAATTCTAAGATGAAAACTTAATAATTCACAGTATATAGAGTGTTCAGTAAGTAAGGAAACAGGCCAGTTGTTACAAACAATGAGAACAATTAAATTCCGTTTCCTTACTTACTAAAAACTATATACTATTGATTTAAATTATTAACAACAGTTTCTGAACATATTTACATAGACATGTTAAAAAAAATTTTATTTTACAAGTATAAATATGTGTTTTATTTTTATCTAAATATTTTATAGTACTTATAAGTATTTAAACAATTTTCTATATTTACCTGTTTTAAAGTGGTTTTTTAAATACTAAATGACAAGTAAATTTGATTATTAAAAAAATCAAGTTAAGAAAAAATATAAGGTAGGTGACTTATACTTGGAAGAGGCTAAGTAGAATGACTAAGCAACCCTTAGTACAAGAAAACATGATTCCTTTGTATTCAAAGTATTATTTAATTCTTTGGCAAATAAAGTAGCTTCCTTTAAAATTATAAAAGACTATGAGAATAAAGCTCATAGACAACTTTTTCAATTTCAAAAAAATCATTAATATAACTTCAAAAAAAACCAAAATGAAACATTCTTTGGAATAAATGCATTTTACCAACTCTTCCAGATTTTTCGAACAATTTTTTTTAACGTGTATTTTTCATTGCTTTTTCAAAAGTGTTAGACATTTTTTTCGGAAATTATTGGTTCAAAAGTTACAGCTTTTTAAAGTAAATACGTCGGTTAACTATAAATACTTTAAAAATAGGGTTTTTTATTATTGTTTTTTTCATATTAATGATGTAAAATCATGATGACACAAGTTTTGTCATAGTTATGTCACATAACTATGACGTATACCCCTCCTCCAAAAATAATTTTAAAAATATGGTTTTTTACTAAAATTACTTATTAAGAAATTTTTCAAAATAATAATACGATTAAGATTAGACGGACTACAGAATGACTATTATAACATTCAAACAGGAAATAAAGAAACCTAAGAAAATGTTTTAAAAATAATTTTAAACACTAAATGACACAAGTAAATTTGATTATTAAATAATCAAGTTAAGAAAAATTGAATCTATTCTGTGATAATATTATCTGTATTTGAACTATTTAGATTTCTAGTGATAAGATCGTTCAGGTCAACATGTGTTATAACCTACAAAAATTATTCAATATAAAAATGTAAACAATTAAACGTGAGTATTTTTTTTTAATTTAAAATTTTTCACGATATTTAATTAAAATTAAGCTTAATTAAACATAATGGTTCGTAAAAAAATTGACAATCGAATCAGAACACTGATTGAAAATGGCGTAATAAGTGGCCATCGTACTATGTTTGTAATTGTTGGAGATAAAGGCAGAGATCAGGTAATTCATAATATTCAAATTCAAGCGATGTTACAATTTTTTATTATTATGAAATAATCAAATTTAACATAATGTCATAGCATAATGTTAGATATAACTCTGACTTAAAAATTTTAAAGGTCACCATAGGATATTGGCTTTATAATTTTTTAACATAGCTGTGAATAACCATGATTATGCCACTAATCATTGACAATATTTAATCTTTGACGAAATATTTAAATTATTTATTATTTTGCCCAATTTTTCATATACTAACAAGTTTTTGATAAGAAAATAAACACACAAATCAAAATAGGTTTATTAACATTACCAAATTTGAAGAAGAAGAATAATTTACACTTTTAAAAATTAGTATTGATTAATATCTGACAGTTTTTAAAATCATTAATGAAAAACACTTCAATACGTAATAAATATTAAAAATTGATCATATTTACCAAAAATTATATGATTTTTTACTTTAATGCCTGATAACTCAGGACAAGTCACCAGAACAATTTTATTTATTTTATCATATATCACAATAAGTAAGCTTTAAATTAAAATAATATAGAATAATCTGTTACTCTGCAAGAAACTACTAAGTTTTCTGTGTACAAAATGATAAATAAAAATGTCAACATTGACTTTTTTGTAAGAATTGTAATAATTTGGGAAATTTTTCTTAATTACAATGATCGAGGGGAGTTTTTATAAAGTATGGCACTTATAGCATCAAATAGATACGTTTTGTGATCTTTTGACATATTGTCAATCAAAATCAATCTAGTAGGATCAGATTATTTATTTAGACAGGTAAAAAGAATAGTTAAACCAATATTTTCTCAGCTATGTATTGAAGCAGAAAATATATTTAAAATTAAAACTATAAAGAATATTATTAATTTAAAACTAAAAAATATTAAAAAATTTTTTTAATTTTAAATTAATAATATTTTTAACATAGTTATATTTTTAATTAATATTAGCCATATCAATTTGTGGGTAAATTCATCAGTGATCAATTTTTGTTATAATAATATATCTTGAGTGCAAACCAGAATATTTTTATTAATTTAAAATAATATTATTATCAACTAGATTTGATAAAAAAAAAGGTAATTTACTTATTTATATTATACTTCTAGAAAAAATGCTGTGTAGACCACAGATGTTTGTATTTAATTTTTAAGAACTGAGTTGCTTAATGAGTATAATTAGTCTTCTGCAATTATAACTGTAATATTTATCAATACAATACAGTTTTTTTTTCTATTTTCTTTTATTCTAGGTTGTTATATTGCATCATATGTTGTCTAAAGCAGCTGTTAAAGCTAGACCTAATGTATTATGGTGCTATAAAAAAGAATTGGGCTTTAGTAGGTAAATCAATAGTTAAATTATTTTTATATACCAATCAATTCTTTCAATTCTTTTCAATTCTTTTTTTAGTCACCGCAAAAAACGTATGAAGACTATACAACACAAAGTTAAAGCTGGAAAATTAAATGTAAATCAAGATGATCCTTTTGAATTATTTGTAGCATCTACAAATATTAGATATTGTTATTATTCTGAAACCCATAAAATATTAGGAAATACATATGGAATGTGTGTTCTACAAGTAAGAGATAATTATTTTATCAATTTTTTTATTAACTATATTTCATTATAAATAATGTTAATGTAACTGGACGTTTTTAGGATTTTGAAGCTTTAACACCAAATTTGTTAGCACGAACCATTGAAACAGTTGAAGGAGGTGGCTTAATAGTTTTCTTATTGAGATCTCTTAAATCTCTAAAACAACTCTACACATTAACTATGGATGTTCATGAAAGATTTCGTACAGAAGCACATCAAGATGTTGTTGCTAGGTTTAATGAAAGGTAAATACATTCCGTTACTTAAAATAAATTAAATTTTATTGAACTCATACAAATATTTATATTTTTCAATAGATTTTTGTTGTCCTTGGTATCATCTGAAAGATGTTTAGTAGTTGATGATCAGTTAACAGTACTTCCAATTTCTTCTAAAGTTCTTGATTTAGTTCCAGCAGAAAAAATTACGGAACCAACCTGTAATGATCAAGAATTAGCTTCTCTTAAAGAAAATATGAAAGACACTCAACCTGTAGGATGCTTAGTAAATTGCTGTAAAACTGTTGATCAGGTTAAAGCTTTTACAATTGCATACTCGTTTAAAGCTTTGATTGATAAGATTTTTAATATTATTAATTTTCAAGGCTAAAGCATTGTTAACTTTTATTGAAGCAATATCTGAGAAAACACTTAGATCAACTGTATCTCTGACTGCTTCTCGAGGTAGAGGAAAATCAGCTGCATTGGGAATAGCTGTTGCTGCTGCTGTTGCGTTTGGTTATTCCAATATATTTGTTACATCCCCTTCACCTGAAAATTTAAAAACTTTTTTTGAGTTTGTTTTTACAGGTAAAGTTATAATCTATTTTTCTCCTTAATTATAACAGCAGTTCTTTTGAGTCCTTGATTATTTTTAATGTTATGTTATCTTCTAACTTCTCCTTGGGCCATGTAATATGGAGTAAACATTAAAGTGATGTCTACTTATTCATGTAGACTCTTATGTATGTCAAAAAATATGAGATGAAAATGTGTTGTTAATTTAATTTTTTTTTAATTATGACAACAACTTAAGCGTCTTTAATTATTTTAATTTTTAGGTTTTGATGCCCTTGGTTATCAAGAGCATTTAGATTATGGAATCGTTAGATCAACTAACCCAGAAGATAATAAAGCGTTAGTTAGAGTTAATGTATTTAGAGACCATCGGCAAACTATTCAGGTATACATAGGTTTTATAATTTACATTGCTTTCGTACAGTTGACATTTTGTATATATTTTTTAATGATTTTGGTACTCATAGTACTTAGTTCCTACAGATTCTAACAAATTAAGTCAAGCCGAGCTAGTAGTAATCGATGAAGCTGCAGCCATACCACTTCCGTTGGTAAAATCAATGCTTGGCCCATATTTAGTATTTTTAGCATCTACAATTAACGGGTAAGTACAATCATTTTTGAATTCCTAAATGTTTAATACGCGTTGATTTTTAGTTATGAAGGAACCGGAAGATCATTATCTTTGAAACTTTTACAACAACTGAGGTCACAAGCTACTCCTATTGGCAATAATACTACTAGTGATAAAACTGGTCAAAATGCTATTACTGGGCGATTTTTAAAAGAAGTAGGGAATTTATAACAAACCAATACTGAAAGCACTAATGTTTAACAATATATTTTTAGGTAACTCTTGAAGAATCTATACGTTACAAACCGGGCGATGACATTGAAAAATGGATCACAAATGTCTTATGTCTCGATGCAACAAATACTGCTCCATTACTTTCTGGTTGCCCACCACCCGACACTTGTGAATTATACTACATAAATAGAGATACCTTATTTTGTTACCATAAAGCTTCTGAAGCTTTCTTACAACGTATTGTATCATTATACGTTGCCTCCCACTACAAAGTAAATACTTATCTGTGAACAAAAAAAATAAAATTGGTTTCAATTTTTTCAGTAACATTTATTTATCTGATTCAATTTATATAGAATAGTCCTAATGATCTCCAAATGATGTCTGATGCTCCTGCACATCATTTATTTTGTCTTCTTGGACCTGTCAATCCTGATATGAAAAATTTACCCGAAGTTCTTTGTGTTATACAAGTATGAGTTAATATCAATAAGTATTCTATTATAGTTCTTGAGTAATGAAATAATAATATTGTAAAACTTTGTTTGTAGGTATGTCTTGAAGGCGAAGTATCACAAACATCAGCAACAGAAGCATTAAAACGTGGTAAAAGAGCTGCTGGTGATTTAATACCCTGGACTATATCTGGATGTTTTCAAGATGAACAATTCCCTTCTTTAGCTGGAGCTCGTATTGTTCGTATTGCAACTCATCCTGATTATCAAAGTGTAAGCTCCTATTAAATATTATTACTGATCATTTTTCAATATATTTTTTAAGTGAGCTATTCAAAGGCTAATTGAATACATTTTACAGATGGGTTATGGCTCAAGAGCTTTAACTTTATTGAAAATGTATTATGAGTTTTTAATACCGAGTATAGATGAAAAGCATCTTCCTAAAGAAAACATAGAGTCTATTCAAGAAGAAGAAGTAGATTTACTTGAAGAAAGAATAGGTAAGTATTTTATTTTAATTTATGTTGTCTAAAATGGGTTTTGTGCTAATATCTTATTTGATCGATTTCAATACTAGAACCACGAAACAATTTGCCACCTTTACTGTTGAAATTAAGTGAAAGACCTCCAGAACATCTTGATTACATTGGAGTATCATTTGGCATAACTGGTCCTCTGCTAAAATTTTGGAAAAAAGCTGGATTTATTCCCTTGTACATAAGGTATTATTTTTTTTTTATATATATAAAATTTGTACATATTTATTTTAAATCCCTTTCTCCAGGCAAACAAACAATGAATTAACTGGAGAACATTCGTGTATTATGATTTCTACACTTAATTCTTCTGATTCGCTGAAAAATCAAAATTGGCTTCTTCAGTTTTGGAAAGATTTTAGGCGACGTTTCATATCACTTCTTGGCTATCAATTTCGGAAATTCTCCCCACAACTAGCTCTTGGTATTTTACACAACACTAATATAGAATTACCTTCAAAAAATCGTAAGTATCAATGAAATTATAAAGATTTAATCCAAAACATTTTGGTACCAAATATGAAGATAACATTGCTGTTATTAATTTATGTTAAATTAGAAATGTTGAACAAATTAGAACTCGATGTTCATTTGACAGCATATGATATTTTACGATTAGAAAAGTATTGTAATAACATGGCAGATTATCATTTAATAATGGATCTGTTACCATCTCTATCAAAATTATATTTCCAAAACAAATTTGGCGACACACATTTTTCTGCTGTTCAAAAAGTATATTTAATAGTACATTTTTAATGATATTCTTTTGATTTAAACATATAGTATTTTTTAATTATAAATAAATTATTTTTTCAGGCATTATTGCTAGGCTTAGGCCTTCAATATAAAACTATAGAAGAGTTAGCAATTCAATTCGATCTAGTACCCGCACAATTATTAGGATTGTATAACCGTATGATGCGGCGTCTGTTGCAAATTATAAATGGAATTATGGAACAAAATGTTAACAGCGAAATGCCTATATTGCAACCAATAGCTGATAATGAATTAAGGCCTCTTGCCAAACCGTTAGATGAGGAATTGGAACAAGCTGCCAAGGTAAAAAGAAAAGGTTTAAATTGATTTTTTTTTTTTTTATAAAGTAACATTTTTTTAGGTTTTGAAAAAAAAACAACGTGCAGAGTTAGAAAAATTAAAACAAGAAAACCTTAGTAGATATGCTATTAAAGGAACAGAAGATGAATGGGGAAAGGCATTGGGAAAAACTGGTAAAACTAAAAGTATCATTAGTATTAAAAGGTAAATAATAATTTGTGTATATTTAATTATTTTTTAACTAAAATATTATCCTAGCGGAGAAAAAAGAATAGCAGATCAACCAACTAATGATGCTGAAGATGAAATGGAACCCAAAAGAAAAAAAACTAAGAAGAAGTTTAGGAAAAATTAGTTTTTAACAAATTATTTTTATGTGAACAGACAAATTATTTAAATAAAATTTTTTTTATGCATAAAAAAATTTTATTTTATTTAAAATAAAAGGAGTAGTTTCATCTTGTTCTTTAATTAGTGGTGCCAATCATCTACATTAAATATCACATATGTCATAGAAATAATAGGTGGGTGGAGAGTATTAGGGTATTGTAATTAATACTAAATAATTTGTAGGGTTTTTTAGAGCTTTTGTTACAAAAAATTTTAAACATACTATAGTTGTGTTACTAGCATTTTAATACATAAAGTAGGTATTTAGCATGGTACATACAATTGGGTACAATTTGTACTGATGTATATTTATAATGCATATTCTGATATTCACTTTATGTAATAGAATACATGTAACTCATTCCTAAAGTTGTTTTTGACCCATCAACATGTTTTGTAAAACCAAAAAAATAATTAAAAAAGTGACTATTTTGAAATTAAAAAAAAAAAACCCAACACAGTGGTAACGTGGCATAGTTGAATCAAGTATAATGATATCTGACAGTGATTAAAATCACTATAAAAAAAACGCTTCGATGCAAATCTTTAGATAGTGTTTAATTTTAAAAAATTGGTGGATTATTACAAAGGCTACATGATCTGCTATTTCCTTATTAATATCTTGATTAAAATAAAGTATGTCGAATGAAAGAGGAATATAAATATGAAAAAAGTTATGGCAGTTTTAAGTAAAAAAAATTTCAAAAATTTTAAAAATTAGCGATTTTTAAATTTGAAATTTTTTTGGAGGTTTTTCCCATTTACGGAGAACGAGGAAAATTTTATCAATTTTTGAGTGTAATGCCTTCAATTTGTGATCTTTTGACGTATCGTTGAAGGAAATAGGTTCTGAGAGAGCAGAGAAAAAGTAGTAACAGACACAATAAAAAAAAAAAATACATCATAGTAAAACCAATACCTTCTCAGCTTCACATCGTAGCTAAAAAATTATATTTATTTGGTTATTTTTAAAAAAGTTGTGGCAGTTTTAAGTAAAAAAAATTTAAAAATTGTTAATTTTCGGAAGTTTTTCAATTTTTTTTATTAAAACTGCCATAATTTTTTTAAAAATAACCTAATCAATATAACTTTTTTTTTATAGATACCTTAGGTATCCTTACCTATTGTTTGATATATTTTTGTGAACATTTGACCCTTTACCAGCCCACAGGAAGGGATTTAAAATGATAACTGTTTCACAAAAATTTTACTTTTTCAAATTAACTTTTAAAAGTGTTCAGGATAGTCTGACACTTTTATACATATCTTATATTAAAGCTAATGTAATGTACTTTATAATAAAAAAAAAAAATTTCGTATTTTATTTTGTCTTTACGTTAAAAATGGCTACCAAATGCTATTTTTGTGTGAAAATTCTTGATCTTGTATTTTATATTTTTAACTTTATTATGCTATAACTTTTTGAAAATATATGGATCAATACAATTGTTTTATGATAAATACTATTTATATACTTCTTTTATTCGACATACTTTTTTTTTAAATAACTCCATTTCTCTATATGTATATGTATATTTATTTATTTATTCATATATTACACTTGTAAATCATATAATCTGTAATCAGGATATAACTAAGGAAATAGATCATGTAGCTTTTGTAATAATCCACCAATTTTTTAAAATTAAACACTATCTAAAGATTTGCATCGAAGCGTTTTTTTTTATAGTGATTTTAATCACTGTCAGATATCTTTATTAAACTATATAGTATTTATATGGTAAATTATTGTTTAGATATTTTTTTACTTGACCGAACTATGCCAAACCAAACCCAACCAAATGTTATTGACTAGTAGTAGAACACACACATAGATTTAAGAGATTAATAAATAATATTTTATTTAATAAAGGGGAAATTTTTTTCAATTTTTGAGGATAATATCTAACTACATACTAGTTGTGATCATTAGACGTATGATTGAATAAAAATTAGTCAAGTGGGAGTTGAGAAAAATGAATGACAAAAAAATATTCCTAGTTTCACATCAAAGTTAAAAAAATTAACACAAAATAAAATGTGATAAAGTTTTGGACTACCTTGTATATATACTATTTTTAGGATAAAATGAGTAATAAACATTTTTATCATAATGCATATTATTAAAAAGCAATTCAAAATGACAATATATTTTTAAAAATTAAGAGTTTACACTTCTAATAACCTAAAAACCAGTCCATAAATTGGTTGATTAATAAGTTTAATTAAATCAATCAGTCATCAATAAACAAAAATACAAAATTAAAAAATATTACAATAAAAATTTATTGTATTAAAAGTTACAATTCAAAGCAAAAACACAGCATATCTAAAAAAAAATAAAAACATGACTTAATAAGTATTAATTATGAATAAATACTTATATTATTAATTGAAATGCCAAAAAGCAATATAAATTAATGGTAGAATACAATATCAATAATCAAACAAAATGTTTGGTTACATATTCTTACAAAAAAAAAAAAAAAAAATATATATATATATATATATATATATGGAAGTATAAATAGTATTACCATAGTTACTTAATGTGACATAAAGCCGTAGAAAGAATAAATTATGTAATACAAGTATATATAATATAATGTGTCATAAAAAAAAAGTGTGAAAATACATGTGCTAAATAAAATTATGTATTTTTAACATCCTCAATCAAGAAGACATACTTTCATCCGAGTAACAAGACATATATTGACATCAATAACTGAACCCCAAAAATCTATTTAAGGAATTAAAAAAAATATATTTTATAAATTACTAGAAAGTTAAAAAATTTTCTCAAGTTCTATAGAAATACAATAAATGGCTTGTTATTAATTGTCTTCTTTATTGAGGAAGCCAACATTTTTTTTCATTGTAAAATGGTAACGTTCTTTAGAATAATTTCTTTTTTATGTGACAGTTAATGCCGCACGCTTAGGTGTAGTCTGTTTTGTCTGAAGATTACCAAATGAATCATCTGGATTTTGTTTAGAGCTACGCATAGGCGGTGAAGGTAAAGGGCCTAAATCAATATCTGCAACTCCACTATCTCGGTTGTCTGAGTTACTATTGCCCGACCTGAAAAAATCATAGTGAAGTGAGCGAATGAAACACATATTGAGATTACTTAAGATTTTACCTATTATTATGACCATGCCTATGACGTTCAAGTTCAGATTCGATTCTTAAATTTTCCATTTCATCCATTTCACAGATAGATTCACGGATATCTTCAACAAACTTACAACGATCATGATCGTTTCGTGCATTGAACGTAATCAATAAATGATTATCGAGCCGCTGAGAGAGTTTAATACCAAATTGATAATCTACAAAATAATTGGCATACAAATAAAGAATAAATATAAATATTAAAATAATAAATTAAATAATGAAAAGATTGGAACATTTTTGAAATATACTGAAATTGTTTTTCAACTTACGAGGCAATTGAAACAAAGAAACTGTTAAACCATTCAATGGGAAACTTTGGCGGAAAGTATAAGTGACTGAATTTTTCTTTTTGGAGAGAATTTTGGTGATGACTAGAAGATCGTTAAATAGAAAAACTTCCCTTTGATGAACACCAGGGCGTTCTTTTTTATAAATATCTATGACTTCATACAATCTACAATAACATACTAACCGACGATGGGGTAACGCCAAATTCTAAAAAAAAAAAAATAAAAAAAAAAAATTAATAATATAATAGTGCGTTTTTGTGTTTTTGTACATTTGCATTTTTACTTAATATTATTCATTATATTTACGTCCTTTTTTTTTTTATATTAATTTTATATATTTTTTTTATATTTAATTTTTTATATAATATATTATAAACTATTGGCTTTCTAAGATTAGCCTACAGTATTTTTGAAGTAATTATAAGCAAGTAAATTAAAGAAATAAAATTTCAATTCATTCTATAACACAGATTCAGTTCATTATAACTAATAAAATCATTTATTTTAACTATTGCAATGACATTATTGATAGTGATAAAATAGAGTCAACATTATTATAATACAGTTACCTGTATCTGCAAGGATCATGGACCTAACAACCCCACAAACCTTAATTAATTCAGTGAGGATTGTAACACGTACCACTGTTTTTAGCCGGTCATGACTTTGATTAGTTGGGACTGGTAGACCTGGACATACTTGTTTGTTAACAATGAATAAGTCCCCCTATTCCAGCCATACCAAGTGAATGGGTTGCTAACTTATCACAGGGTAGTTAGCCAAGAGGTTAAGTGACCGTTGAGATACACTAGGCACCTGGTGCACCACAGAGTATATAATAGCCTTATCATAGTATCGAGCTCTACTATGGTGGACCTTTATTTCTCGATTACTCGTCGGAACTATATGGATAAAAACATAAAAATACCAAAAAACAATCAACTTGGGACAAAAAGGGATCCTACAGACAACCTATCGGAATGAGATTGTAAACTGACGGCTCTTTGCAGAAAAATCGTGGAACTTGAGAGTCTCAATGCGAACAACAGGGCAACTGTTGACAATTATTAGAGTAACACTAAGCGATAGTAAAAATATTATAGTAGCTTTAGACCCAGGTAGGAACCAACAATGCTTTTTAATTATTACAAAAGTGAAAAATTAGAATTCATCCTAGGTATGGATGCTAATGCTCTCCACACTATTTGGGGAGCACTGACATCAATCAAATAGTAGAGGTAATAATGGATCTACTACTGACCTCAGTATACTGAACAGAAGTAGCAAATCTACCTTTGTATTCAGGAACAGGCAAGAAGTCATTTATCTGACAGTTTGGTCAAAAGGGTTACTTCAAAAGATAAAAGGGTGGAAAGTGTCCTCTGAACGTTCTCTTTGTAATCATACATGATTTTCTTTGGAGATAAAAAAAGTTAAAACGAAGTTCTGTAGAAACCAAAAAAAAAAAACAAACTGGGATAACTACACGGCAGATCTTTCACATGACCTAAAAAAACCTAGTTTAGATTGGGGTCGAGAAGGTACTAAAAGGGCTGCAAGTATCCTACAGGACTCCATTGTCTAAGCTTACAAGAAAAACTGTCCTTTAATAAAAAAGAAAGATACATGGTAGGTGTAGCTTGGTGGAATGCTAACCTGTCTAAATTAAGGAAGAGTTCGCATAAGCTCTAAATAAAGCGATGAAATCAGGTTTGGAACAAAATTCCAAGTTCCTTTGGGCGTCTCTATAGGGACGCCCAAAGGAACACAAATCTGTATTGAAAAAATCTAAAAAAGGAAGTTGGAAGAAGTTCTGTGGGGAATTACAACAACTTCCTATAGAAACTAGACTTCTGCAATCACTAAGAAATGGACCAAACAAAACAATTAAGGTAATACTACTGCCAAACGACATGTTCACCAACAATGATAATGAAACATTATCACATTTGCTGAACACATACTTTTCTGGCTCAAAAATTAACAATAGAGAACAGTCACATGATACACAGGGCAAAAAAGTGACTTGTGCTGATTGGAAACTAACCAGGAGAGTGACAACCTCAAAATCACTCATAAGTAATTTAAAAAATGATATGGAAATTATAAAAAAGATCTTACTAGCATTAAACAAAATCATCCTACCATAACTGTCATACTAAATATTTCTATGGATGATATAATTGCAAAAATTTAACAAAAATAAGCAAAAGTCAAGAACATCATTGCATATAACGTAACAGAATCTAATAGTACAGATATTAAAGAAAGAATAAATCATGATATCAAAATATAGTTATAGATAAAATTAAAGAATTTACAAAATAGCAATTTGATTCCTTAAAACTCATAAGACTTGGTAAACAAACACAAAGAAAAATTTGGCATATCAAAATAGTTAGTTGCAGTAACACGAATTTTATTGATGTACTGAAGGTTCCAAAAACATAAATAATCGAAATAAAATATATTTTCAAAATGGATTGACAAAAATTCAGCAATAGTAGCTTTCAATTCTTCGGGATGAAATAAAAACTAGAAAAAATATCGGTGAATTAGATTTCACAATAATTCATAAAAATACAATACCTAAAATCATCAAAAAATCAATAAACAATTATATTTCATCAGTATGTAAAATTCTATCTTTATTATTCAATCAAAACTTAAAAAAGGGTCAGATAAAACTAGATGATTCTGATTTACAAATTGTATAAATATATAATTATTATTTTAACTGAAACATGGCTTAATAGTTAAACATCTTTAGAGTTGAAAGAAATTGAGCTTTTAGGGGATTATCGAGAGGAAGTGGTGTTTGATAGAAGTCAACAATAGCTACACAGTTTTAGATAAGGATTAATTAGCTAACTATTTTGAACTAATAGCTGTAATGATAAATCATCATACTTTCAATCAGAGACTTATTCCAATTTCAGTTTACTTGTGCAATAGCAACATTATCACACTTAATTGACTAAATTTGATTAATAAATTAAAATTGACTAATTTGCAAAAAAATATCATTTATCAATAACAATTATTCTAAATAAAAAATTATTATATGTGTTGACTGGAACCTACTTTAAGTTTTTTGGGATATAAATCCACTACATATTAATAATTTTATACCAGAAGACCACATAATAATTGTTATTACTATGCATATGAATTACTTACATCAGTTCTCAACATTATAAAACTAATTATTACAATAGAACTTAAGACCTTGTATTCTCCAACTCAAAAAAGATGTTAGGGGAAAGCTGAACCATTTTTTATTCATTATTGCTATTGTTTTTATTATTATAATTATTGTGTTATATTTTTCATTTTTAATCTACGTGTCAATTATATATTTCTAAAATTCAAAGGGTATTTAATAAATAAATAAATTTTGTTAACTATTATTTTTAAGAAAACGTACTGGTTTTTTTCCAACTATGGTTGACTGTACTTTCATGACTTGAGTAACGTGATCTGACCCTGGTTTAAACTCATTGGTTTTTATTCTTTCATAAATTCCGACTAGCATATCACGGTCAATATCTCCACAATCATCAATGCCTGAACACGAGATACAATACTAATGTTATTTGAAAAATAATTATAATTGAAATGTTTACTACCTCTTAAATTTTTTATGAAGTCATTCATCTTCATTCGACGTTCAGGTTTTAAGTTTGGAGTGTGTAAATCCGTATTAAGCATTATGATCGCAAATGCTAAGATAAAAACCGTGTCTAAATTTCTCAACCTTGCAACAACGTCTCTATTGCAGTGGCAATATCTATGACTGAACACTTCAATGAGTCTTTCAATTTTTTGGGCTTCGCCAGGCATTCGGAAAAACGCTTGAAATTTTCGCAAAGCAACGTCTACTTGCATACCAGAGAGGTCTATTTCTTGAGCAAAATATCTGTAAAAAAAAATTACAAAAAATGAAATGGAGTTTACAACGACTCAATTTCTTGCTTATGATTATATTTACTCCAAGACAGCAGCATTGAATGGATTTTGTAAATCGCCCAAGTACTCTCCTATCATTTGTTTGCTCAAACCTTTTCTTGATATTAAGAATCTCGCTACAGCGTGTGGAGAATTGTCTAAGAATCCTTTACATACAAGGTATATAATTCCTTTGGATGGTTTTTTGTTGAACAGGTTGAGTCCAATACGATATTGACGCTTTCTTATCACATCAGATACCTTAGAAAAAAATGATTAGTTTTTACAAAAAGAATTGCCATAAATTTTGATTAAAAACATAATATTTTTGTGTTTACCTGCGATTTTTTATTCCAGGACACAATGGAATTTGACAACATTGAAGAATCGACTGAAGAATTAGTTTGGTTAATGGTATGTGATTGACTAGAAAGGCTTCCATCGCTGCCTGAAGATTGTACACTCGATAAGCTACCGCTATCAGACATTTTGTTGATAGTGTTAGAGGGTAAATTTTGATGTTGGTCACGTAGTGAACGAAAAGATATTGACGAAGTTCGTTTTGGAACTTCAGGAGGAACTTTATTCTTTGAAATATTCGAAGCGTACACAACTGAATTTACGTTGTACACACACGACGATGGAGACATATTGGTAGCATATTGGTTGCAACTCTCTTGTCCATACAAATCGGAATCACAGTGACTGCTAGAACACAGATAGTTTGGCATTCTCTGATGACGCGACATTTGACTAGAAATATCTTCCTAAAAATACACGCAGATAGAAGAAGGCAGTTAGCATATATTTAAATAAACAAAAAATTTGATATGATATTTCAAGTATTTTCAACTTTACATACTTTCATATTATTATAGCTATAGTTATGTGAATAATAGTGAGAACAAGAAGACTCTAAATCGTAATAATAGTTTAAATCACAACGTCCGGAACGAGATCGTGGAAGAGAATTACATTTTGTCGGTGAATAACCAGACTTCTTTTCTCTTAGAGACCCTGATCGAATGCTGAACTGACTATCATGAGATCGCAAACTTTGAGTTTCTTCCAATCGTTTGCTCAACCTTTTTTCAGCTTTTGCCATGGCAGTGATATGAGCAAACTTTTTAACCAACATGTAATGACGGAACGCTCTTTGTATGACTAATGCAGCTTGTCTTGCTCTGTCTCCACCATATTTCCTCTCAAGCAATTCAATCTGTTTCTCTATTAAATCTTGCGACAGTTCATATCTATAAATATATTACAGAAATATCAAAAAACATCAAGTATTATAAATACCAAGTAGTAATTTAATAAAAATATCAATGAAAACTTACGATGCAGTCGTATGAAACGGTTCTGGTTGAACAATATTATTTTTGGTAATGGTATCAGTCCAGTGATTATATTGATCACATTGATTTAGAAAATTTCTATTATTGCTTTTGTCATATTTATCCTCCCTAAAATATAAAAAATAAACATTTTATGTAATAAATTGCATTACAATTTACATCTTATGGTATACAGTACAGCTTTGGTAATATAAATGCACATATTACCTTTATTAAAAAAAGTAAAACTTGAATATCAAAATAATTAATCACCAATTGTAACATGGCCAAACTATTTACATTTGAAGTTTTTTAATTATACAATAATAAACGAAAATAATTATTAAATAGTACTTATATGCCTTCCTACAAATGAAGATTACAACTAAAAAAAAAAGAAGATATTTAATTATCTTTAACAATTTATGATCAAAGTATCTTCTGTTTTTTTTTTTTGTTATCTTCACTTGTAGGAAGGCAAATACGTATGGATAAGGTTAACATTCCTATCCGTTACATCATACATAATTTTCTTTTTTTCCTTCTAAAGGCTAAGCCTTGTATAACCAACTGGATTGGTATATATACTCGGGAAATGTAAAGTGCAGTGGTTTTCCCTTTGCCTTCTGCACTGGGAACGTGGTGCTCTTTTGCCACCGTAGAAGCGCACGCATGGTCACCTATCCGTTCACCTACGGTGGTAGGTGCGGCTTAACACTAGAGTTTTGTTAACAACTAGTGTGACCACCGCGCCACACCATACCCTACATACATAATTATGATATGATATTACTGTTATGGGAAAAATGACAACACTAACCTTAAAATGCAAGTTAAAAATATGTTTTTGCATAAAAAAGAAAAGAAAAAAAAGAGGAAGATTACGCATTATACTATAATAATATTAATTTAATTAATTAATATTATTATATTAAGAGTTTTTTCTTAACAATCTAAATATCAATTGTAATTAACTTTTAACAGTATGGGGTAATATTGTAAAAATATTTTAATTTGTGTTTCAAAATGTACAATTTTCTCAGGGTAGAATGCAAGTAATTTTTCAAAACCATAACACACAGTGAATAATTTTAATACCTAGTGTCCTGTAATGTCGTTCTTTGATCGTACAGTTCAATATCAAATTTAAGGCGACTAATTTCACTGAGCAACATGTCTCTTTCATTCATAACTAAGTTTAGCTGGGATCTCAGTTCATAGATTTCTTGACGCTGTTGGTTGATAATTTCCATACTCTGTTCCAGAGAAATGTAATTACTACTACTATTGGTAGCGGTACCACCATTGATGCTGTGCACCATAGGTTGGGTGCAACCCACTCCATTTACGAACTTTTGCGATCTTTGCTTTTTGTTGTCACACATTTCTCAACGACGGTCACATCGGTCATTTAAATGCGGCCCTTTTGACCCAGGCGGTCAGAGAGAGACGCCTCAGACTCCACTGCAAAATCGACTACTCCTGTACCAACATCATATTTATCTTGACGGTAGGCCACATTATTATTAAATCTAAGAAAAACATTAATAAAACACACAGAGTTCAAAATCGATCGCAACTCGACTAAATTAAAACGATTCTACACAACAGTTGTGTAATGCAGTGGCATTTACAATTTATCCAATAAAAAATTGTTTTTGTTGCATACGCTACATAATAGAGCACTTTACTAGTCATAAGTGTTATCACGTGCCCACTCACGCTCGCTGGGAGGGATTGAGGCGGCAACCGCCGCCGTTCCATATAGTACGGCCGCGGTATACGGTAACCTTGATGATATCCCCTCCACCCGTGACAATCGTCTACTACCGATTTGCCAATGTTTAATATACCCGCGGCAGCGCTACTAGTTCGAACAATAATCCATACACGGCGTAGTCCTTACAGCAAAAGCTATGTCCTTTTTTTGCCACCACTGCGTCTGCTGTATCGCAGTTCACATATCCATATCGGGACATCTGTGAACCGTATCTGACACCATTCTCTGTAGAAAATAGCGACGTGTACCGTGAACGGTTATGTCTGTCACTCGGTTTATACATAACAATCGGTATAAGAATCAACCTAGTTAAAAATCCGTAGGTGTAATATCATAGAATTACTTATAACCACAAAATTAATTTTTACATATCTCGACAGAAAGTTCATCCAATATCGTTAAAGAAATAAAAGGGTGATAAATTATTACATTATGTTTGAATTACAAATTAAATTAGAATATTTCGAGTTATTTCAATTTAAAGTGTAAACACGTCGTTTACTATTAACTTCGTTAGATGTTGTTGGTATTAATTTTACTATATGTTTTTTTTTGTGTCTGTGAACGCTCAATGTCAGCTCTCGCTATACAGATTTTGATGAACAGTATGTCAAAATATTAAAAATCGTATCTAGTCCAAGACGACGTAACCCTCAATTATTGAAAAAAATTCCCTCGTTCCATGTAAACGGGGGAAATGCCAAAAAAATTAAAAATTTACAAATCCCTAATTTTCGACATTTTTTCAGTTTTTTTTAATTAAAATTACCATAACTTTTAAAAATGACCGAATAAATATAACAGTGTTTTATAGATACCTTAGATATTTATCTATCATTTGATATATTTTTGTGAACATTTGACCCTTTACCAACCCACAGGAAGGGTTTCAAAATGGTAATTTTTTCACAAAAAATTAACTTTATCAACTTAACTTTTGAAAATGTTCCGGAAAGACTGACACTTTTATATATACCTTAAATTAAAGCTTATGTAATATACCTTAATTTGAAAAAAAAATTTGACCTCTAGACTTGTCGTCATGGTGAAAACAGACATCAAAGTTAAAGAAAAACGTACGATTTCCGTGAAAAAATTCTCGATTTTCTTCTTCTTTTTCTTCGCCTTAATCCCAACTACTTGAAGTCGGCCACCCTTATCTTAAACTCTCATCTTATCCACGATTGATGCTACACCTATACTCCCTTTTATATGATCGTTCCTTATTCTATCTTTTCTAGTCACTCCACTCATCCATCTAAGCATTCTCATCTCTGCTACACTTATTCTCTGCTCCACTTTCTTATCAACCGCTCAATACTATGAACCATACATTATTGCTGGTTTCGCAACAGTCTTATAGAACTTACCTTTCAGTCTTAATTAGAATTCTCATATTGCATAACACACCAGACGCTTCTCTCCAATTCAACCACCCGCACTTAATTCTGTTTCTTACATCCTCGTCAATACCACCACTCTTTTGCACAACTGATCCTAAATACTTAAAACTCTCCACCTCTCCAATCACGTCCACGCCTATTGTCACTGACCTCCTCATTTCACCTACCTCGTGTTCTCCTTTGTCAAACTCGTACTCTTTATACTCTGTCTTACTCCTACTTAGTCTTAAACCCTTTTCTTCAAGAGTTGATCTCTAGCTTTGATTAATTTTTACTCTATGCTATCATATTAATACAATATCGTCAGCAAACAACATGCACCACGGCACTTCACCTTGTATTTCTCTAGTAATTTCATCCATCACTTTAGAAAATAGTTTGTATAGATATTAAAATAAGTCAGAACTAGCATTGGTATCAGGTATTTTGTAGAGATGCTGTAAAATATTTTCTGGCAAATGCCGTAATCCGAAACACGGTTTGCATAGAAACGGATTCAGAAGAAATTTTTAGCAGGAGGGATTTATTTTATCTTATACATTTTATTCATATAAAACTTCAGTAGCATTATTAATTTCTCCTGTAATCGAACATAATGTGTTAGATAAGAACTTAATAACTAGGTAATATTATAATCTAGTTAAATATTTAGGGTAGATTTGTTAGTTTTTTAGTACTCAAATTGGTTAAATACTAAGTTCGCTAAACATTATTAGCATCAAAAACTTTATAATTTCATACATTTTGTTAATTATATTACATATACCACACACATTTCAAAATGTAATGCACACTTCTAGTTATTATTACTAGTTAATACTAGTAATCTTATTTATTAATTTTAACCGTATAACATATATCAATAAGAAAATTATTTTAATACACATTAATTTTGATAAAAATTTCAAAACAAATTTAGTTGTTTGAAGGAAAGTCAAAAGACACCAAGATTTCAAAAAAAAAAAAAAAAAGAAAATGTTGTTTTCAAAGTAAATGTCATTACTTAATTAAAAAAATAATTGCCTTTAACTTTTAAATAAATATAACATCATAAAAACATTTTTACAAAGGACCCCGCAAATGGGGGCTTGAGGTGACTTTGCCCACAATAACTTTAGATAATTATGTATGTTGTACCAAGTATTTTTTAAGGCAGGGAGAAAATATAATTAACACCCACAAATTTTTTACTGTAGTTGCGCATATAATAACCTTTTGCGTTGAATTCATTACGAACTAACTGACGCTGCGTGGGGGGAGGGGTATGCGTTTAACGATGTTTATGGTATCGAATGCTGTAACTTAAATGTAGGTAGTGTTTGATAATTAAATTTATTTAATTTCACGCGACATTGAACTCTGTGCGTCTGCCGTCCGTGTGTAAAACGTTCATATAAAATACTTTTAATGCCTTTAGTTTGTAACAAACTAACTAAATGCTTAAAGCGACTCAATACTATTTATGATTCACGAAATGCCGTTCGATTGAAATTTTTCTAACTAAAATTAAACAAAGTTTTTCGCGTTATCAACCGTTAAGTGCCACAACGGAATCCGGTTAGTGTAGCATTAAATTAGAAATAGATAAATAAATTAGAAAAAAAAAATGACAAATGTTCAGAAGCCTTGATTTGATTATTCTAACGAATTGTGCAATTATGTCTCCAAAGCTGTCTATTTTTTCAATTTTTTAGATCAAGTATAATATATTTGATATATATCTATATTATATATTTATCAATATATTATAATATTAGTTTTGTTATAAGACATTTAAACGTTAATATCTCGCCATTTTGATAGTTATCATCGACACATCAGGGTTAGCCACGAAGTTACCGTATACCAAAGATTGATTATTACATAGCTAATATCAAACAATTTTAGAAAAATAACATGTTCTTAATTATTTTAAGCATTTTCTTTATAATATAAATAGTTTATTTTTCTTATTTTAATTTTAATCGATCCACTTTGGCAGGCACGGATACAAAGGGAAACTCATAGGAACCATGATCCCAAAAATTAGAATTTCTTAATGGGGAAGGGCACATAGTAAGATCTAAAAGAAACGTTTCTCGCATAATTTCGTCTCTTCGTTTTGGAGATGTATATTACTGGAGGGTGACACCAGTCCTGGATTGAAGGGTAGCCACAGAGGGGTCAAGATTTAGGTATCGGAATTCTTTTTAAAAGCGTAGAAAAAAAATGAAACTCGAATGACGCCTAAAGCGCATGGATCATCAGGGAATTAAAAATTTAATTTTAGTTTTGAAATCCGGTGTAAGATACGATTCTTACGTCCAACGACTACACTACTCTAGTTTAAATCCTTTCTGGAAAAAGAGGTTCATGTTTAATAATTATTTTATTATTAGAATACAATTATGAATTATGTATTTATATTTATATATAATTCTATAGTTATACATCAATTATGAATAATTAATATTCTAGAGTGGAATAAATTTTATTAAAAATGAATGCAATTCATACACGTAAGAAAACGTTGATTGGATATAGTTATTTCTTTTGTTTGTTTTTGGATAGAGGAACTCGAATACACGATCCGACCCTCCAGGTTTACCTTCGCAGGTCCTAATGCTTACTACACAGATTGACTAAAATTCCGTTGGTATTATTTTTTTAAGAAACAAATTACCGCGGAACATCATCTCTTTGGTCGCGACAATGGGGGTGACGATATTCAATATCAATTTACATCACACACGTTGTCGTGCGAATAACCAGTCGAGAAATAGATAGCTGTATCTCTCTATTCGTCACTTAAAGTAAAATACAAATCTAAAGTTACACGGCGCATCGTAATGTATCATATGTGTTCCGAACGCGTATATTAACCTAAAGGTCGCGTTGAACTCTCGTCGAGAGTACTTAACCATACGCCGTCGTCGTGTTTGACCGCTGCTTATCGGACTCGTGTCGAGATTAAAAACACGTTGCCGACCGTAGTCGTAAACAATACCGGCGGCAGAGGTATAAAAATACAATTAAGTGCGTACAATTGAGGCGATTCGGTAAAACCCGCGTGTGATCCAAAACGCCTATCCGGTTTCTGCGAAACCAAATTGATTTTTATTAAATTAAAACAAATCAACCGTTGTGTCGCTCTGTTGGTTCGAGTCCAAATACATACATATATATATTAATTTTATATTTACGTTGTCGGGCGGATTGCCAAGTTTTATTCGACCGACCAATCCAAACCGCCATGGGAGGAAAACATTCGAAGATGGACCCTATGGAAGTCGAGGTGCCGGAATTGCAAAATCAACTGAACCGAGATCTTTACCTGAAGCCGTACGAACGCGAATTCAAACGCAGGTAATGCACAGTTTGTTGTTATTGGAATTGTAACGACTCAACTTATAGTTACGATTATCAGTCATTCATTTGTGTTCATAAATTTTCTAAGTCGAAAAATGTTTATCACTGCAAGAGTAAACGTTTTTAAATGGTTAAAAAACAAATATTTGCGTGAAACGTCTCGTAACGGTTGTTCGTTTGTCTGACTATTTACTATATAGAGAAGTATCAGATTATTGAAATATTTCGAATTAAATTTATACGATATTGAGTAGATGAGTGTTGCCGACCACGTTCTAGCAATTAACACAAAGCTTATACGTTTCGTTATTAAAACTTATGTACTACTATACACACTATGCACATTTAAAATACTTAATAAATTACTGAACATTTTTTCAACTTCCTTATCAATCGAACACAAATGGAGTTGATTAAAAATCTTTCGTTGTATTGATAAACAATTTACAGGATTTTTTGTTAGTTTAATTGTAATTTGAGGCGTAAAGAGTTACTAGTTAAAATAATTTAGAAAAAAAAAAATGATGTATTCAATTTTTACTTTTAAATTTTAACTTATTTTGAGAAATTTTTAGCTATTAAATGTTTTTTTTTTTTGATAAAAACACGAAAATATAACTAGGTATTTCGAATATTATCGTTACTAATAATTAATAGTATACGACGAACTTGTCAATACATGAAAGACGACTCTGAGTCTGCTCGATTAGTAGTTTTGACTCGGTTTAATTACTGACAATGTATTTTTGGAGGGAACAAGTCTCGGACACGACGGGACTACCGCGAGAATTTATTTATATTTATAAAGCTACCTACACTCGATTTCTATTGGCGTACGATCAACATTTAAATTAATTAAAATCGCGTTCACTCTATTTAATGTTACAAAAAATTGTAAAATAATTGAAAATTATTTTCACCTTACTGATGCACTCGAAGTTTTGATTTATATTTTATGAATTATCGAGGTACGCCTGCTTTCTCGATTACTTGGAAAGAGTCAAGGAAGATTGCGACCTAGATACGTTTACCACTAGTTACAAAACATTCGGAATCCATATCGAGGAAGACGGATCTGTTCGTTGTCTAGAGTGGGCTCCTGGAGCTAAACAACTATATCTCGCTGGTGATTTTAGTAAGTAAAAAATGTTTGTGCAATTATCCCGTGCAATCTTACAACATATTGTATTTTTCTTAAGTATATTATTAGAATATCTTCTGTCATATCATAACACGTAATTATTTAAAACTTATTATTTTTTTTTAAATAATGGATGACGTGAGAGCTAAAGAGAGAAGGTGCAGTACAGGTCTAAAAATAGATCACGCTATGACCACTGACCTTGGCCCTAGTTCATGTCATAATATCTCTTGGATGAACTTTTTTTTTGACTGTCCACTGTAAGACTGCTCCAACTCAAAAATCACATTTTTAAGAGAGCTATTTTAGAAATTAATTGAATATTTAGCAAATTATAAAAAATGAGTGAGAAATATGAAAACAGTTTTGGGTATACATAAGTGTTAACATTTGATTGGTAATAAACTGATATAAATACATTAAATGTTTAAATGAGTCATGGTAACATATTGCAATTTTGAATTAGATTACTTTTAAAGTAATAATTTACTATTAAAGTATTATATAATACTAAAAAGTATTATAAGTAATATTCATAATTTTATACATTTCATATATATTATAAAAACAACAAGGTTAACTAAATTTAATGTCCTTTTTTAAAACAAAACCTAATAAAGCCATATTAGTAACAAATTTAAATAGTTTCAAGTTTTCAGTAATAAAAACTTTACTCTTTCATTATTTATAATAAAATGATAACTGTAATTCAGAGATCTATACTTAATATAATACATATTGATATTACACATGTGTGTTATAATAAACTCTCTTTTCTTACTGATATCTGTCAATTTCTAGTAATTAATGCTTGTTATAGTACGTTCTTTGTTTGTCGGTCTTTGAGTGCACACAAGTTTACATATTTCATTACATGATAATGTTTTAGCAGCAATAATTTTATCATTAGCACCAATATATGTTTTACCTGAATTTCTTAATTTTTTTTTACACATTTTTTACCACTTTTCTTTATTTGACTTTCTTTTTCTAGTATTACTTACTAATATAATAATATCAACAACTGGCAATTCATACACTGTCAAACTTATTTCTTTAAAATATATTATAAAATGTTATGTTATATATAAATAAATAAATATGTATGAATATTATGTTTATTTATTGGTTAACAGATTTTCAAAATTGACTAGAATTTAAATAAGGATGGATCATAAAAATTTAAATAATTACCTTTTCATTTTCTACATTGGGCAAACATTTATATATACCCTTTAATGCAGTTAAGTGACGGTTTATTTTGTAATTTTTTACTTTTATAGATTCAAAATTCTGTACATGGGTTGTACATCTGTTTTGTTGTACATATTTCATCTTTTTTATGCTCAAATTATTCTAATCAATGATAAATAGATCTCAGAGGTTATACAGAAATTTTTAAACAATTGAATTCTATTATGTTACTTTTTATTCTTCAATTTTAACGTTTTATTCTTCTCTATAAGGTACGATAGATAGAGTTGTGACATTCATAGATTTATCATAGATCTTAGTAATTTGATGTTCAGATTATTCAGGAACAAAGGACTCCATAGATTCCAAATCTAATGGTTGTTTTTGTAATTATCCACCGATTTCATAGAATTAAATTATATCTACAGATTTGCATCGAAACGTTTTCTACGATAGTGATTTTAATCACTGTCAGATTAAATCTATAGTGGACCCGACTATGCCACGTCCCCACTGTGCTGGCTTTTAGCTTCGATGCGAAGCTGAGAAGGTATTAATTTTACTATGATGTGTTTTTTTTTTTTTTTTTTT